GTTGTTGTTGTTGTTGTTGTTGTTGTTGTTGTTGTTGTTGTTGTTGTTGTTTGTTGTTGTTGTTGTTGTTGTTGTTGTTGTTGTTGTGGTTGTTGTTGTTGTTGTTGTTGTTGCTTATTGTTTGTTGTTTGTTGTTTGTTGTTTGTTGTTTGCTGTTTGTTGTTTGTTGTTTTTTGTGGCTGTTGCTGTTGTTGCTGTTGCTGTTGCTGTTGCTGTTGCTGTTGTTGTTGCTGTTGTTGTTGTTGTTGTTGTTGTTGTTGTTGTTGCTGTTTGTTGTTCTTTGTTGTTGTGTGTTGTGTTTTGTTGTTGTTGTTTGTTGTTGTTGTTGTTGTTGTTGTTGTTGTTGTTGTTGTTGTTGCTGCTGCTGCTGCTGCTGTTGTTGTGGTTGTTGTTGTTGTTGTTGTTGTTGCTGTTGTTGTTGTTGTTGGTGGTGGTGGTGTTGTTGGTGTTGTTGTTGTTGTTGTTGTTGTTGTTATTGTTGTTGTTGTTGCTGTTGTTTTTTGTTTTTGTTGTTGTTGTTGATGGTGGTGGTGTTGTGTTTGTTGTTGTGGTTGTTGGTTTGGTGTTGGTGTTGGTGTTGTTGTTGGTGTTGGTGTTGGTGTTGTTGTTGTTTCTTTTGTGGTTGTTTTGTTGTTGTTGTTGTGTTTGTTTTTTGATGTTCTGAGGCTGATGTTGTTGTGGCTGTTGCTGTTGCTGCTGCTGCTGCTGCTGTTGTTGTTGCTGTTGTTGGTGTTGGTGTTAGTGTCGGTGTTGGTGTTGGTGTTGGTGTTGTTGTTGGTGTTGTTGTTGGTGTTGTGTTGGTGTTGGTGTTGGTGTTGGTGTTGTTGTTGGTGTTGTGTTGGTGTTGGTGTTGGTGTTGATGTTGGTGCTGTTGTTTCTGTTGTTGTTGGTGCTGTTGGTGTTGTTGCTGTTGTTGGTGTTGTTGGGGTTGTTGGTGTTGTTGTTGTTGCTGTTGTTGGTGTTGTTGGTGTTGCTGTTGTTGGTGTTGTTGTTGTTGCTGTTGTTGCTGCTGGTGTTGTTGAGTCGTTTCAATGGGAGCCAAAATCAGCGTAGCCTTTTTTCTGTTTGGTGTTTCTGGTAGAATCCCATTTGACTTGTCTGGCTTCTCTTCCCTGGAAAAAGATGAGGGACCATGAGCAGCTCCCAAATCACTCCGAATTAGCCATTTTAGTAGGTGGCTCTAGTATCTTGGGCTTTAGGATAGAGAGCGAGTCGCCGTGGTGCCTGGAGTTTTGCAACTATGCTTTTCGCGCGTTTTCAATTTTCTTTTTGACCCGGAGGCTATTGCTCTCTGACATCAGAGGCTCCTGCTCTGTGACATCGTCAAGATCGAGTTAATCATATCTTTCTCATACATCTATATATCTCTTGCTCTGTGACATCATCAAGGTCGAGTTATTCACCAGCTACTACTCTATATATATCTTGCTCTGTGACATCATCAAGGTTAAGTTGTTCACTAATTACTAATAAATAGTTTTTCATCTCTTGCTCTGTGACATCAGCAAGATTGAATTAGTTGTTGGTTACTAAGAAATCGATATTATATCTCTTGCTCTGTGACATCATCAAGATTGAGTTATTCAGTAGTTACTAACAAGTCTATATATCATTAATTATCATCTTTGTCTTTAGCTCAAGACATTGTCAAACCAAATTCAACCTATTATTTTATTCTTAAGTATTGTACCAAATTCGGTCAGTATTGTGTAATCTACGCATTCCTGATTACAGTTAATATTTCAAAACTGTATTGTTATAAATTTGAATCTTCAATTTGAGATATTAGATTAGTATATGTTGTTGTTAGAACATTAATTGCCTATAATTCGGGTAATCTCTATATATTATAGTATTTCTGATGTTATACCATATAATGGAAATGATATAGCTAATTAAACTTGAATAACTTGGGGTTGTTCTTCTTCTTGATCTTGGTAAACGAATAGTTAATTTTGAACCCTACATCAGTGAAATATTCAAATCCAAGATAGAACGTTATTCAATATCTGAAATGAAGTTATTTACAATGAATAAGGTTAATTAATCCATATTTCAATTTGTATTTTGTTTTCTGAACAACTGTTAGATTTGAAAATTAAGCAATGTACACTTTCATTATTGTTTAATGTACGCCCAATCTTAAATTATGAGAGCGCTGCTGTTTGTAGTTTAGCGTAGCATTTTCCAAACTATATTTCATTTTTATTCGTTTTATAATTATTGGCAATGATATTCATTGATGTATTGTTTGCTTAAAGTTATTTATTCTCTGCATATAGACTGAATTTAACAGATAAGATGGGAAAAGGGCGGGTCTGAATGATAGTTGTTTTGGAAAACATGAGGTTTGTTGCATATCTCCCCTATATGCAAAACGCACGCCCCATGACAACCCCTTCTGTTAGGATAGTGGGTGCGAAATAGCACATGACTCGAATATCCCAAAAGGAGAAACGGTATGGGTGGCTTTGAAAGGTTTGCTGGATGGAATCGACCCTGGGCGGCTGCATTGTGTTTTCCACATGGACGGGCCACCCCATATTTTTGTGGTCATGGAGGTTCTGGAGGTTTTTGTTTGGAGAAGCCCATGCCCAACCTCATGACGGCTTTGATAGGAAATGGACCCACCTTCATACTTATCTTGAGGATGTCTTTTTGTGGTGGTATTTTTGGGGGCTTTGTTTTTGAGCGAAGCCAGGCAGCGGCTCGGTGCCGGTTTGGCTGGCCAACATCTTTCCGGACAGCCAGGTCGATGTTGTGGAATTAGAGGTGCCCTGTCAGGCGAAAGCTTGAGGATCCTCAGATTTCCCCATTTTGGTTGGTTTTTCCCTGGCTTGGATTGGTGGTGCTCTGGTTGGGCACCGCACTTTAACTGCTAGAGTGACAAAACAAGAGCGGCGGTGCGCTGCGATTGTTGCTTGGATTGGTGGTTTGCTCCCCGGGCCGCCCCGGTCGGGCACTGATTGCAGCGGGGCCCGGTCGGACACCGTCGACCGTACCTTTGCACAGGCAAAGCGGCATCCTAAGCAAAACCAGCGGCCCGCTATGATTAATGGCTTGGAAACGATGGTTTGCTTCCCGGGCTGCGGTTGGGCCCGAGCACAAAAGAGAGCGCCGCATACTGTTGGGGATGTCACTTGAGCTTATGAAGAAAAACCACAAAGAACACGTTGCCATTTTGACAGGTTGCGATTCCTGTTTTGAGACAAACCCATTTCCCCTTGCCGGCTGTTCAGTGGATTCCGCCCTCCTCGCTACTGTGTAGAACAATCCATGAAGGTCCGTTGCTTGGAGAGCCACTAGTTTTTCTGTAATTCTGCAGAATCAATCAGCGTTTGCCATTTCTTCCCATGTTAACATGCAGCCCACAACCCATCCGTTACAGGAGAAGGCCCAAGATGGGGTTGGATGAAAACGCCAAATGCAGATTTGAATGGGTTAGCACGGGTTGGCCTCCAAAGAGGACATCCCCACATAGTACAGGGAGTCGTTCTAAAGTTCCTTGTGCGGAGTCTAGTATTCGGTGGCCATCAGTGTTGGTTGAGGTACTTCCTCGAAAGATTCGCGATGGAGTTGCGAAGGCGATTTTTTGTTGCAAACGTTTTGTATCGTGTAAATCCGTGACATGTGAACGCAATGCATCTGGCCTGAGCCTTCCTTCTATAACTTATTAAACAATTTTGTTGCTGTTGCGCCGATAAAGCCTGGTGAGTCTACAGTTTGATACCCGCTTGGGTGTGTCTGTGGGTGGTAGTCGCAGGCCAAATGCGCTGCAACGTGGGTGATTTTTCGTGAAAAATCCGCGAATGCCGCGAAAAAGTGTTCTAGCTTAGTACTGAAAGATTGCGACTTTCCAGCCGGAGCTGCGGAAGTGCATTTCATCTACTACCCTTGTGCTGAAAAGTTGTGACTTTGCAGCTGGAGTTACGGAAACGTATTACACTGGTACTTAAAAGCTGTGAGTTTCTGACGTTAGCAATGGAAAGTGCAATCCGCGAAAGACTTCACAAAAGTATTTTTTCTCGCGAAGAATTGGCCGTTTCGAGACAAAGAACAACCACCAGATATTTTTACATGCGTATGGAAGGATTTCTGTGAGTGACGAGTATGACTGATTGTACGTTACCTCGCCCCGTCGGCTTATGCACGAAGATGTGTATCAGCCCAAAAAGCCCCATCATCCTTAGCTTGTCCCTCTCGGTCCACAACTGGAAAAAGAGGACCAGACATGTAAAAAAACGAAACAAATTGAAAACCGAACATGGAAAGCTAAAATAAGCCTGTTTCCAGGCAGAGGTGGAGCTCCTAGGAGATAAGTAGTGTTTGTGTTGTTTTCGGCTGTTTCAGTCCTGACCCTCCTTCAGGAGGAAGGCTGTGCTTGTTGATTTCCCCAAAAGGCCCAAAAGGCTCTAAGTACTCAGGCTGCACATATCAAAGGTTAAAACGGTTTAAACCACGTTTACGACTTTAAAGTCCGGATTGATGATTCGATAGCGAGAGTCCTGAGAATCTTCACTTGTAATTTTCAACAGGGCTTGGCAGCGCTTTGAACCATTTGGTTTGCGCAGGTGCATGGAAGGCAAAATGATCGAATTTGGGGAGAGGGTGAAACTGACTGAAAGGCACGGTGAATGGCATCATGTTTTTCTGAATGGCACAAAAAGTTTTTCTTCTGGCAAGCCCTTGAAAGTTCCAGTTCTTAACAAAGCAGATGTCTTCACAGATGAGGAAGACACTTTCAGCAGCCTCATTCAATGTATATCCGTGACTTGCCTCTAGCCCAAATCATCGTTAAATGCCTACATTATTGCTTTCAGCACTTGGAATATTCACTGGATATCCCATGTACAACACAAATACCTTCTGTTTGTCTAGTTGCGTGGGAGCTAGATAGCCATGCAAGCCACCGCATCCCGGCACACCCATCCAGAATTGAAAATTGCAAAACGACCCCTTAGGGTTTCATTGTTGGGCCATGTGGGCAGCTTTTCAAGCGCTGCAATGTCTTGAGAGATGGTTTGCTTTTCATTGTCCAGTGTGACCCGACTGGGTGAGTTCTGGACTCAGAGGGAGGCTGCCATTGTATTTGGGGGGTTCTTTCTCCAGGCCCCAGAAACATTATCATGGGGCGACTTTGTTATATATACATCTATGCGCGCAGACAGAGAGAGAGAGAGGGAGAGAGAGAGACATAGGCAACCTCTCTTCCCTTCAACAACGACTCCGCGCTCGCTTGCCCACTCAGTTTCCTTCAAAGACTCCGAGGCCTCCGTGATCCAGGCCGCCTGCGAGGTCTTGGGATTTCCCGTGTCCCTGCCCGGCGCAGGCGCCAGGACCAACGGACGCCGGGAGTTTGCATCATGCAAGGGATAATGAATACTCATGGTTAAGGTAGAGGCGCCTTGGGTTTGCCTAATAGGCAATTGCCACAATCAGGACTAAATTTGGAATCAGCTCCCCAACAACGCTTGAGATCATGTCTTCATACATTTTGGGCTTGCCATATTGGAGGCAAGCAATCCGAACAAAATTGTTAGCTTGGTTGGGGGGGGTGAATGAATTGGTGGCGACGAACAAAGTCGTCAAATTGGGATTTCTAGTAGTTTGGCGCAGACAGTTGGCATTTACTAGGGAGCGTTGTTATTTCCGGTGTGTCAGTGAGTCACTTCCCCAGCCCAGTTACCCTGGTTCAGTCACGCCTTGGAATCCTTTCGGAGTCGACCAGTTTGGAAAGGCTCCTGAATTTGTTTCAAAGGGCAACCCCCAAAATGGCAACAGTCTGCTTTTGGATTCCCTTCCAACCAAAAAGCACCCCCGAATCTTCGAGCTCTGTCCAAAACGCTGTGCAGCGTCTTGCCGGCGCAGGCGCTCGAAACAAGTCCCCCCTGCGCCGGAACATGTCGCACCAGCTGCGGGCCATCCAGGGAGATGGCGGGGCAGGGCAACCAACGCGCGTGGCGGTTTTAGAGTACCAGTGCGTTGCTAGAATGAAAAGGAAAGCCGAAAGACAAACCACAGTATTGGGCGGCAAGGCACTGAATTTCCCACCAAAACCATCCAAAGCCAGGAATCAAGTCCGAAATAAATCCATGTCCCAAAGAGAAACCCCATAGTTTGACGTGACACAATTGTTGAAGACCCCAAGCAGGTGCCCTTTGCTCGGGACAGGTTCGAACTGTTAAGCTGTTGGGGAATACCAGGCGAAATGCAAAGCTTGCCTTTTAAGACTTAATCTTATGTTCCCTGTTGGCCTTGAAGGCAATCTATCACAGGAAATGTGTTTCCAGGGAACTTAATAAGCAAATGGAAGAATGCAAATGTCAGGCCCATTCAGGGAATACAGCAAATACCATCCGAAACATGGCGCCATGAAAAAGCACAAAGCCAATGTGAACTGCCAGATGGGAGCGCGTGCCCCCTCCCTATCGGCCAATGTAGCACATGGTTCTACGACATGGCGGGGTAATGGTCTAGATACATCACTGCTATGATTGGCACCTGCCAGATATGCATTTACAGGTTCACACATGGCCTCGTATTTGTTTGGGTTGACAAGGATAAAGCAAGAACACACAGTATCGTGCATACATACATACATACATACATACATACATGCATACATAAATGTACTTCTGCATTTACTCAACACACAAAGCGCACACACACACACATATCACACACTTTTGCTTAACACCACACGCACACACGCACGTTTTTTGTTTATGCTTTAAATGCAACTCGGGGCTATTATAGACTTTGCCAGGTGCCTTGCGACTTCCGCCTAATCAATTGTGGAAGGACCAGTTTGCACAAAGGGCAGCCTTTGCTTCATAGGCATTCCGGTCTTATCTTGGCAAAACGGGGAGAGAAGGAGGGTCGGATGGTTGAATCCTATGATTTCTTCAGCGCGGTGACAGCATGCGGCAGTGGTATGCACTGGAAAGATGTCCCTGATGTCCCCTTAGTGCATACGATGGATTCAGAGCCCTCTAACAAAAGCAAAAGCGCTCAAACACAACTCATGAAATTTCCAAGCAGATAGGCCAGCTGGTAGGGTGTTGTTCGATAAGGCACACATCTAGCAAGAGGGAGTCCTGTAGCAGAGGCTACTCTCACGCTACGTACTCTGTTCAGGATTCCCTGCATTTGTTTTTTGCGTTATTGAAACATGTCCTTTGGGCCTTTATTAAGGGATGTGTTTGTTGGGGCGAGGTGATGTTTAAATATCACATCAATGAGCCCTGCTTCCAGAAGTGCCAAGCCAAGTCTCTGGGAGGAGTTCTGCGTTCGAGGTCTCTTCTTCTCAGGTATTCAATATCCTCCTTTTCGAGTTGTTTTACATGGAAACCAAAAGGAAACCACCAAGATCTCAAATCCTTTAAGCTCGCATGTGCAGGGGCTGAGCTGGCCGAGCAGTGGGCCGCAGACCCTGAGGGTCCTCGCTACGACGCCGCACATCGGCGGGAAATGCCACGGGGACAGGCTCGGTTTTCTGGCGCCAAAAAGCCCTAGACTTGCCTTCAGACTTGGGTCTGAATCTTTCAGGTGAACATTGCTTGCATGTGGATTTGATGTCCACCGTCCTTGCTTGGGTTTCCCCTTCGGACTTTTGGTCAATGTTGGTTTTCAGTACAAAAACTTCCCTCAATGTATGCATTGAAATACATCCGTGCTCAGCCTCAGTTTAACTCATATTGTTTAAACAGCCTCATGGTTGGTCCCCAAAGGCGGTGAGAGCCTTGGACGGCCAGAGGCGCTGCGAGGTTTCTCGGTTAAACGGGGACAAGGTAAATTGAGGCTGAAACAATCTTCACTGGACGTTTCACTTTTGGAGAAGACAGTTTTAGAGGTACAAAGTGTGGGCTTTTGTTGGCCAGCCCGCTCGATCGGAAGTGAGCTTCTCTCCATTGGACCTTCCCAGGGGGACCACTTTCAGAATGCTTGCTGGGGTCTCCAAAAGTATGTAATATTTCAGGATACTCTTATGGCACAGGGCTAAAAGAAAACCAAGCATGGTTCTGTGCATGGGACAAGCCGCGAGGAACCTGGGAGCCCTTGGCTTCGGTTCAAAGCTTGAAGCCCGGGCCAAGATCCTCATCGACGCCTACGACGCATTGAACCGGGTGCCGGCGCCGCTGTGGGAGGAGAGTGGGCCGCTTTGCAAGGCGCTGCCCAAGCTGCTGAAGCCCCAAGCCGTGCTGGCTGTGCCTCGGTTGGTCGCTCCACGTTGCATAGTTGGTGGTTTGTGCCTTTGAGGATACTCCAAAGGGAACCTGCCAGAGGGTTGAGGAATGTTGAGGAACATTGTCTTCCATGAAAGGGGTTTTGCAAATTGCTAGACTCAGGCGCCGCTTTTCCTTCGACTATTGTTTTGGCCGGGGCAAACCCCTTTCAAGGCGCCCTTGTTTCTCCCATGGACACTGGGCTTCTGAAAGTTTGTTGTCAACGTGTCTTTGGGGTTCTGATTGTTTCCCTTTTAACGTCACATTTAGAAAGCAGTTTGAAGGATGTCACATCAATGGAACTTGGACCAGACTGGAGAAAATGGTTTTTGGTTTGGCGGGGGGCAAAAGCCGAGCGACCTCCAGTGACAGATCCTTGTGTTCTTTCGTTTGGGAGGGGGCAGGCCCCACTGGTCGTGGCATGTTTGTGTTTTGCTCTTCAATTTTAGCGGCTGGCTGCACAACAGACGTTGTTGCTCACATGCATTGGCAAGAAGACAAACCCTTTCTTTCCCCATCAGAAACCACTGGAGGTAGCAAACATGTGACAGGGTTCACTGGTTAAGCTGGCCATGAGGCTTCCTTTCATAAGGATGCCTGTTTGTTCAATGGTCCACTTGGGATTCGGGGCAAAACCCAGGTGACGAGCGCGATTCTTCCCAGGTGCTCTACGGCAGCCACATATTTTGCACGTACGTTCTGCCCAAATTATGGCGATCTCACTGGCCCGCGAGAGATTTGACCAAATTTGACCGAGGTCCCTTGCCTGAGCGTACCTTTGCTTCCACTCATATTTGCAATGTTAGCCCCGGATAATAAACCCGTTGATTTTGATTGGGGAGCGCCCCCGGTTTGGTTGGAATCCTATCGCTTTTGTGGGCGACACCCCCCTACCAAGACGGACTCAGATCCCCGAACATCGCTTGTTTTACGCACAATGTGTCATGCAATTTGGAGAAAGGTTCCTACCGAGTTCATGAAGAGTTTACCTTTGCACCCGTTTTCGGAAGTCCTTGTTGCCCTCTATGGACCCTTATCAATAGTTTTGATTGTGCACCTTGAAAGTCAATGTCCTTTCGGTGTGACGAAGTTTAATGCGGGGATCGGGGAATTCTGGTTTTGGGCTGAAAGACGGGGTTCTGCACTTTTGACCGGAGATGACGTCGCGCCCACCCTACTCCAGAAAGATTCGAGCTTCAGTCACTCGGTGTCCTAGGTAAAGGTGTCCCACTTTAGCTCATGAGAGGGAAAGGTTACTGTCCCTCAAAAGCCCAAGCAAGGGGGGCCCTTTTTTCCCGGGCAAGAGGCAACAGCAAGGAAAGGGCAGCGGTGGCTAAGGCCAATGTGCCGCCTGGCTTCCCCGTGGGGAAGATGCTTAAGTGCTTTCAGAAGCGCCTTGCGGGCAAGTCTCGGGCCTCTTGGATGTGGAAATTGGAGCTGCTTTTTACTCATAGGCCATCCTGTCCACTAACATGAAACTCACCTGTCCTAGCATTTTCAAGAACCCCTCAGTCAGATTCCATGCTAGGGTACGTGTTTGACGTTGTTCCTGTGTGGTTTTGCATCACGTTCCCTTCAACTCGCAAAACGTTAACTTTTTGCGGGTGCTTGCCTAGTGTCCAAGACGCACTCCCTCAGTTGCTGGACGTTTTTTGGGGAAGCCCATTTTGGTGAGAAACTGCAGTTCAGACTTTTTTGGCCAATCCACAAGATGGTGTCCATCCCCCAAACCACTCTTCGGGGGAAGTTCGGCATATTGAGGATGCCCAATTTCGCGTTTGCGACGGCAAGCTTTCCTCTCGAACCAATGCAGTGCTTGTGCCGGACAGTCCAGGCACCGCCAGCTCTAGCGCTGGAGGCACGGGTCACTGGTCTTTGCTGCTCAAAAGTGTCTGCTGTTATATTCCAAACTCTGGGGGTAAACAGCGAAAGCCATGATGCAGGTCCTATACTGGGGGATCCCTCATTGTTACTGTATTTCTCTTGGATTTATGGTAGTATTCGCAGACAATTTAGTTTGTTTGTAGAAGAACGCACCCAGGCAATTTTCGGAAGGAGCATCGGAAATGCCTTTCTGGGCCATATAGTTCGTTCTTAGGGGCTGATGTTGAAAGCGCAACTAACCTGCAGCTGTTTTTTGTTACATACAGTTGGAAAGTGGAGGTTCTTTTAATGCTTCCAGCCGACAAACTCACAACTGCAACATGTGCCAGGATTTGGAAAACGCATATACAGTCTGGTTTGTTTGTTCGCGTGTTTGTGGGTGTTTGTGCGGTTGTGTCTTTTGTGTTTGTTACACCACTCAGGTTTCTGTTCAACTTTACCAAGCTTTGGGGAGACGGCAGGTTTCCTTTTACAGACAAATACGAAAGGGTGCCCAGTGCTTCCCGAGGAAATGTGCTGGGAGGCTGACGTGCTTTGCCATGCTTTGTGGTTTTGGGGGTCGGGCCTACCATGGCCTACCCAATGTTTCAACCACCGCAGGTGCCAGAGACAGCCAACACCGTGGGCTTGGTCTTGAGGGGCGCAGACCCGGCGCCTGGGCTGATTGCATGGGCCCATATCTGCCAAGGGGCCTCTTTGCAAGTTGTGATCAACATGTTTAGACCATCGATGCGCAGGTGTCTGCTTAAAAGAAGATTACCCATGACTTACACCACAAATATTTGACAATGCGCATACTGGTGTGTTGTAGCGTATCCTGTACAGGCTTGAAGGGAAACCAAAAGGAAGGCCCTCAGTTTGTTATCTCAGTTTCGGCAATCGCGTTCGTGGTTTTGTAGATCATTGGAAGCCACTAGTAAGGGGTGCCTCCATTTCCAGCCAGATGGATATTATGGTGGTTTGCTTCTGAGAGCAGCAGACCATGGTCATTGCTGCTTGTCGTAGTAAAGGGGATGACATGAATTTCATCATTAGAATCTAAACAGCACGGAGGCAGTTGGTCGCAAAATGGCCATGTCAGTTTGGGCAAGGCGCGGTAGCATCGGCGTATTTCTGTTTTTTTCAACGCAGGTGCAACTTGATTGGCTGGAGTTCAGACGCTGACACTTGATCCAGAAGTTTCGCCTAGTCAGTGTTTAGATGTGGGGAACACTTGCACGTATGTACATTGGGCAACGCGTATGTACATTGGGCGTGTGAGACAGGATGAATTTGCAATGAAGCATATAGATTTAAATGGAACGTGTCATGTCGACAGTCGCCCTTGCGCTTTGCATGGAAGATGATATGGACTCGCGTAGAACGATACCCTTGCTCGATACCTTTGCCAAGTTCTAAGACCATGTTGGTCTTGGCTTCTCTTATAAATAGATCTCTATGTCTCAATGAACACTATTCAATGCATGCTAAACACAAACGACACATACCAACAACACACAGAATCGAACAACGTCCCTGAATGCTAATGACAATATTGATACCAGGTTGGTCTTTGATACGGCCTTTCACCTTTTAACCTTTTAAAGCATGTCTACCTAGCTGCTAACTCGCAAAAAGTTGTTCGCAGACTCCCCCGTTTGGCTTAGGTTATCCCTGTACTTACTGTACCCACGCTTGCTGGGATTGTGCCATCAACTGTCACCATGATGAAATCATCCCACTGTTCACGCCGGCATGGCCTTTTGTGGGCTCAGGAGGATGACCAGCTCTCATGCCTGTGTATGGAGGCACAAGCGCTTGTGGAAGGCCGGGGGGGGGGGGGTGGTTGGTCCATGCCATGGCAAGGGTCTCCTCTTTTCATTATGTTATGGTTTAAGGCGGACGAAATGAAATCACGACATGTTGTGTCCTTTTACGATTTGAGTTGCGCATGGATCGTCCTTTTGTATGATTCCCCAAATAGTGTTTACACCAAGGGGTTCTTACGGTAAGAGTTAAGGCTGGGTTGGATCGAGGGTTCGCGCTCAAGGTGTTGGCCCTGTGGATCGATGCGAAAGTCTCGCGCAAAATGTAGGTGTTGGCCCTGTGCGAAAGTCTCGCTTTGGCGCCGTGCTCATTTTGGGCTTTTGTTGGCACCTCCATTTCGTATGGGAGGTCTAAGAGTCTTGGAGCAACGGCTGCTCATTTCCTGAAAAGTGTTTTTTTTCTCTCGCGCCTAAGAGTTTATGGGCTTTCACTCACCCATGAGCAGCACAAACCTGTAATTCTCCTCGTGAGATCACTACGGATCACAGTGGCTTCCCACATCTTGCTCCAGCAGCCATCGGTCTCGCTAGTCGGAGACCAAAGCAAGTCCTACGTCATGTGCTGCGTGGAAACAGTGCACTTGGACGGGCATGCTTCTCACGAGCGGATCTCGATGTTGAAAATGGGAGGTGCTAGAAACGCGCGTTTTACGCTGACGGTTTCCGATTTGCGCGTATATGTATAAATGTGTGTATATTTCTATTGTTCTATCTTTGGTTGCACGCATACATGAATTTGTCCAGCCCTCTATTTGATAGTTTGTGATGGGTTTCTGCTAGCTAGTTTGCGAGCTCAAGGGGGAAATGGGCTCACCTATGATAGAGCCAAACAGAACTGTCCAATAGCTTTGCCAGACAGCTGTAGACCGCACATATGAGGAGTCACTTGAAACCAAAATTCTGCCAGAATCATGAGAGGCCAACGCGGCCCTTGAAGAAAGTGCTCCGACACCTCCAGTTTGAAAGAGTGGGTGGGCCAGCCCTCGATCTCGGCAGGTGGCAAGTGCCTCTTCGATGCAGTTGGGCGCCTGACAAATTGCAAGGTGCAAATCTTCCGGTGCTAAAACCTTGCGGCCTGGCTTTTCTCAGACACCAGCGGTTCCCTTTTCAACTTTTGCTGGGTGGAGTTCTGAGTTCAGATCAGCAGGTGAGCCCTGAGAGGCCATGCAAGAGACATTGGGGCTTTAACTGTGGTGGAAAGTGGCGCTGGCTGCGAGCCGTTTGAATTCCGCCTGTTTTCCCACCTTTTTGTTTGGTGGCTCCTGCCATGTTGCGTCGTGGACAGCAGCCGCCTCTTGGCTCAGCGCCTGAAGCCAACCTGAGCAACGCCCAAAAGCACGTTTGGCCATGTCAGCGCCTGGTTTAATTGGGACAACAGCAAGGCCTAAGAACCAAAAGTTGATCGGTTTTGTTTGCTGTTCACCTGGATTTCTTTCGAACGCGCAGAATACTTATGACACTGACGACCAAGCACTTGCGCAAATCGAACGGTGTGATTGCACCCGATCCAGGTTGCAGGTTGCATGCGGTCCAGGGTATAAATCATGAGCAACGCAAGTCGACTGACAGCAAACAAATTGCCAAGACCAATCAGACAGTGATATGCAGTTGACCTACCACTTATTCCACCTAGTGGGCTCAGCAGGTCAGTTGACACCGTGTGTTGTTGCATTTGGCTGTCAGCGATGGCGCTATGCGTCCCAAGGCTGATGCCTTGAACTTCGAATGTGCAATGTTCCTTTGGCATCCAGTTCCGGATTGTTTCAAATGGACTCCAAATCAAAGACATTCATGTTTGTGGGAGAACCCCTGTTTAGTTCAAGACAAGCCAAGCTGGATGAGGCTATTGCCCATGAGAGACAGTGTTCATTGAGCCAGCCAACCATGAATACTTGCCATGCGGCTTGTTTGCTTGTCCGCATTCCAGCGGAAGCCGCACTTCAGACCAAGTATCATGAGACAAGCCTCACAACGTGTCAAAGCAAGAGCATCACGCCACGTGGGAGGTGCTCAATATAGCGGAACCAAATCGGGTCGGTTTCTTTTGCGTTTCCTTCCCCCCCCTTTCCCGAAGAGGCCACCATTTGGAGAAACTCCTACGTGAGATCACGCACAACGAAATATCGCCCAGTGTTAGTTGGGTCAGGAGAGGCCGCACGCAGGTTCATAAGTGGCACAAAGCCTCCTCCCCAATCGCTTCTCAGCTGCCCAAATCCGACCTGTTGACGTTTGGGTTTCCCATGTTGGTCCATTTGCGGTTCAGGGGCCAAATTGTTTAATGGTTAACCTTCATTTCCAGGTCATGTGGCAAGTGAGGCTTGCCTCGAACTGCACCAGTACAAGAAACGATTATACCCTCCCATCCCAGTTTCTGAAGAGAAAACTCGTCTTTCAAGGGGGTCGCCATGGAACCCTCCAGGTGCCTTCAGTCATGGTATTCTTTTGACTTCCTGTCGCCCGTGCAGATTACAACCATTGGGTGTGGTTTCGAGAGTAGGCTATAGGGAAGCCAAAAGGAAGCCAAGCATGTTGGGGTTCGCCTAGTTATCCAATTGTTTAACTTGGGTTTGATGGTTTCTCAAAAGGTTACCCTCCCTCCCATTCTATGGAAGCTCCCACCCTTTGGGAGGGGACGTGCTTCAAAGGGATATGCGTGTATTTGCTGTTTGTGGAATCCCTGGCCCAAAACAATTGCAACAATGATTCTGCCATGAGAAGCTCACCCCCTGAGTTCCCGGACTTTCACCTTTTGGGATCTTCAGTTTAGTGGCAACCAACAAGCTTGGGCGTTTGTCACTCAATTAGAAAGTGAACGGTTTGATAGGTGTTCGCCCCCCCCTCTTCCCATGCTGTCCCTCACTTCCCATGCACTTCAAGCTTTGGAGGGTCATTTTAGTGGTAGACAACATCTCCAAAACGACAAGGAGCTCACAAACTGCATGGTTCGGCCGGGGTCCCTTGCCAGGCGCGCCTGGGGCGGCAGGCATGGCAGGAAGCGGCGCCTCCGACGGAATCTCGGGGAACTCCCAGCTACAAAACACGGGCTTCGATAGTGCGACAATATGAAGCACGGCTCCTTAGCCTTGACTTGGGTTTAGTGGGATTATATTTGCACCAAAAGTGGAGCTTTCAGCAAGGGATCAAGAAATCACTAATAATGGTTGGCGCCTTTTATTGGACTTGCCCGGCTTATGAATCTCGTTGGCAAGGGGTGGAAGCCAGAGTTGAACTTACCAGGGAGATTCACATCTCACCATTCTTTTGGCAATGAATGCTTACAACCTTTCCAAGAAGATGGGTAACGGGAATCCAGCCTTTGCAAAAGGCACGTGGAATCGTCACGGCACAGGTTGGATCGATCTAAAAGGTACTTGAAGCGGGAGTCGAAGCGAGATAAAGTTTGTTGCGAAGTACTTTGGGGGAGCTGCAAGCAAACCAATGCGTTGTTTGTTTGCGTGTTGATGCAAAAGGTTGGGAAGGTTAATCCGCATGAGGGTCAGTTTCCTTGTAGGTCCGTGTGATTGAATATACATGGAATCCGCTGGTATCAGTTTGGTTCTAATCAAGACAGCATGTGGGGGGGATACCAGTTGGCTGGCCATTCGTCAATATCCTCTTCGGGAAACCTTCATCATTTTCATTGTGTGAGAATACCATACTGTCAGACCTTCAGCCTACGCCGAGGTCAGCTTCCTTTATGGACCGAGGGCGAGACCCAGCATTGCCAGCTACACCTCCGCCAAGGGCCGAGTTCCGTTCCAGAAGAAGGGGTCCATACCTATCGTAATATGTGTCTAATGGAAGAGCGTAGCGGTACCATTTGATAAATCAATAACATGAGCCAAAATGGCCTGCCATTTTGGCTCAAGCTTGCCCCTATTCTTTAGTGAGAAGATTTCCAATCCCCTCCACTCGTTCTTCGAACATGTCCCACTCGGAAGCAAGCACCGATTCCTTCGACCTTGTGAAGTCGGCTTTGGTGACGGAGGAGGATGCATTGGCGGCGCGGGAGGAGTCGGAGCGCCTACGAATTCAGGAGGCCGAGGCCCGTTTGGCCCTTCAGGTCCGGGCGGTGGACCCCACCCAGCCCTTGGACCTTGGACCTCAGAACCCAGATGGCGGAGCTTCAGGACTGCATCACGAAGCCGCTCAAGCCTGAGCCGGCAACGTCCGCTCTGCCTACGGGCGCCTTGTGCCCCGGGGTGGAAGCGGACACGCTATGGCAGATGCACCTGCGATGGGGGCAAGTACTCCGAAGCCGGAAGGGACCTCCCAGACGGTGGAAAGGGAAAGCCCGCCGCACACAGACTTTTCGTGGACACAGACACCGAGAACGTGGTAATGCGAGGACAAGACCACGATCCAGGAGGAGGACATCCGACCGGGCCTGGGGGTCCTTGGCCAGGCAGACCGCCTCCCTCCCTTGCCACGCAGTGGGAGGCACCTCCAAGAGCGAGCTGTTCGGGAAGTTCCTCAACATCCCCATGTCGGAGGCCACCGTGAGGTCCTGGAGGCCTACAAAAACTCCAACGCCAACAGGAGGAGGCCTGGGTGTCGCAATACCTCCGCAGATCGCAACCAGCCTCTTGGAGAGACGCGGGGTGGCCCAAGCAACCAACCCACCCCACATCGGTCCCCTTGCCTCACTTGATCCTCGGGGGCTGGAAGGGGCTGCTTGACGCCACGGAACTGGCACAGAGCTGTGTCCCCATGCACTACCGCATGACCATTCGCGAGGAGGTGCTGGAGGCTGGGGCAGGTGAAGATGCGGAGCACGCCCAAGGAGCAGCAGCGCTTCCACATGGAGCGGAGGGTCCAGGAGCAGACCTTCCAGATTTTGCCCTCAATCTGCACCTGCAGGCCAAGGCCATGCAGCCGGGACCAATGCAGGCCGGCATGCAAGAGGTCCCCAGAGCGACACTTCTGCGCAACACTTCACTGCTCATCGACACTTCTGAGCAACACTTCTGATCGACACTTCTGATCGACACTTCTGGTCAACACTTCTCATCCACACTGCTGCAGGTCGGAGATCGAACAAGGCGACCGCATCCAAGGAGGCGAACAAGAGCATCCAGGCGGCGGGGACCAAGTGGATGCAGGAGCACACCGTGATCTTGCAGGACCCGTCTCTGAAGATCAAGGTTCAGAACGGCCTCTTCTGCCCCGATCAGCAACTGCCGACCCCGGCGGGAGTACAGCGCTGCCACGCATACCCCGGCTGCTTTGGGGCATGCTCTTGCGGGCGCTGAAGTACCACAAGGGGAAACTCCGCTTGGTTGGTGGGATCTGCCCGGAGTGGGCCACTAACTAGATGGAGAAGCGCACGCAGCCGGACAGATGCGGGACATGGTTTCTGCCATCCTTCCTGAACGTGTACGCCCACAGGTACACCTTCAAGTACATCTACGCGGCCAGGGCCCGCTTGATTCAGGGCAATCTGCGACGAGCGGATCACGCTCCCCCCCAAGATCTACACCAAGCTCACCGCGGACCTGGACAAGAACTCCGGTCAAGATGCACTGGAGGTGCAACGTCCTCCACCACTGGGTGGAAGCCGTGCCGGCAGACGCGGCCGGCGAGTTGTACGCCAAGATCGGGTACAGCGCGGATGTGATCGATGGCTCGAGAGCCGGGGTGGGGGAAGCCGTGGCATCCGCTCAGGCGACTGGGCCATGACACCGTGCGAGAACGCGGAGTGCGGCCTGATCCTGCCGTCCCTGAGCGCCTGCCACGCACCGGGCTATGTGTGTGTGTGTGTGCAAATACTGCAGGGGTGCAAATCACGGGCTAGCGCAAGGACCAGTTGGTCTCCCTGCAGCTGGTCCTGGATGAGCCACTGGAAGGGCTCTACAATCAATGGATCAAGGGCCGGCTCCAAGGCTCCTGTGAGGCGCCACGCGGTCTGAGGGAGCTGGTCCTGGCCGGGTCGTGAGAAGTGGATCTTGAAGGCGGATGTGTCGAAAGCCCAGCAGCATCAAGGTCCTGCCGTCGAGAGCTGGGTGGCGAATGGTGGGTGAACAAGGTGCCGGAGCTGCAAGTTTGGTACCTCGCTGGACTGCGACTTCTGGCCAAGGGTGCTCCATACTCACGCATCCGGGCTATGGACCCCTACCGCGTGGAGATTTGCATTCATGCTGACCCGCCCGCGTGCCCTGAAGCCGGGTTGGGTGGGGGGGTGGGGCAGAAACTAGCCTGGCACACCGGTGCCATTTTGGTCATGTGGAGAGCCCAGGTACAGCCTCCATGTTAGGTAGGAATGCAAATTTTGGCACCTGCACACTGCCTATGTACACAGTAGATGTAAAAATCTTGTTTGGCCCTTTAAGTTGTGGCAGGGGTGATGTTCATGGTCTTCCCTTTGCTGCGTGCGGGAGAGAAATAGAAGCTGGAAAGGGTTGGGTTTGTGGTCTTACTTCCAGGTTTTAATGGGGTACTGGAGAGATAGGTAAGGAATAAATAGACTGAAGAAGCCTGCCAAGATCCACTGCAACTCCTGTAAATTGAGGAAGACTGTCCATGGCATTCAGTGACTTACACACTTCTATATCCTTCTTTATGACTCGCCAAGTCTTTTCCAGGAGAAGAGGGACAAGAAGGATACAGAAAGACAGAGTGTTTGAAAAGCCTAGACTGTGAGATCTTACTTTGGTCTCATTGACAATTGTCATGCTTCTTATCATTCCTTGTTATAAAAAGGAATCCAGACATCTCCAAAATCTTCCTGAATTGCTGATGGTCATCCAGTGTGCGAGAAACAGTTTAGAACAGAAATATTGACAAATGAAATTGAAAAGAGAATATGGTAAAGAGGGGAAGTGCCTGGATGTTTATAATTACAAACTTATGATCGAGAAATAGAAAAGGATCAATGTAGAATAAAAAATATATAGATGTGGAATCGGAAAAGGAAGCTATAATAAAGACAAATTGATAGACATAAACTTTGTTGACAGAGAATCATTGACATAAGGATAAAGAGAATGTGAAAGAGTTGTGAATGCAGCTCTTGGACTGGCTTGTAAGCCGGAAGGTAACTCAAGACATCTTATCTCAGCTCAGATGCAACCATTATATTGGTGAGGGCTGAGGTAGGCTGGTGGGTGTGTGGATCCTTTTGTTCTTACCCAGCCACATCTACAATTCCAGAAATTCCAACATCCAACTGAACAGACTGGAAACTATGGACCCTGATGACCAAAACAGAAGGAAAATGAAGGAGCAAGAAGAGATGCAATGAAGATATAGGTAATCTCAAGAATGATATGGTCAAGCAAATTGGCTAGAAGCAAGTGCTCAAGATCTTAGAGCTAGAAATAGAAAAATATGCAAAAAGTAACCATACGACTTCATCATTTTGTCTGTCCTTTCTGTAAAAGCTAAATGTAAAAGCGGACATATTTGATGGTTTCATTTTACCCGGTTCCTTATTGTCATACCTTGTTGGGAAGAACTAACATTACAAAAAGCAATATAGAGACATAGAAATAAAATGTAAGAAGAGATCGCGCTTGGCCATCCATTGGCCAGCCGCGGGGGGACAGTTTAACCAAATCGCTTAAACCATATCGGCCCTTGGCCGCGGGCGGCCGCCAGGTTAACGGAATCACTTTTGGAGGGGACCCTTATTGATACGACAGATGTATTGATTAGGGGTGAACTTTGGGGTTGACACCGATGGGAACCTCGAACATGAAGAAGTCCCCACGAGGATGGCCTTGTCCACAAAGCGAGAAAGGTTTTGAAGCTGGTGTAGTCATGGGAATCAATAACTTTGGAATCACAGAAAGGGTTACTCCCCTGGAGATGAACATGGAACCCAAAAAACACAAATTGTAGACGAAACGTGTTTTGGGGGATGCCCCTTTCAGGTTCCATGTTAGTTATTTGTCGGGGAGTATTTTCCACCAACCACTCAGACGCTCAGGTCACGTCTGCCTGCTCCAAGAGCCTCAAATGGGCGCTGGCCGCCTCGCTCCTGGAAGAAGCCCAGCGCAGCCTGGATCGATCGCAGTGGAGAGAAGGGACCCCGGCCTACATTTCCCTTTTAGCAGTTTTAAACATCACCTTTTGGGCGCCTGCAAGATGAGTGTCGTTTGGTAGGGGGTGATGGTTCAATGGTAAATATTTATAGGGATTCACAAGCTGAAAGTATGTCATCCGCTGCACACAAGCCGGAAAATGCCCTCGGATCAACAGACAACTACTGGTTTCCAGAATTTTACTCCCTTGTTGCTTCCAACAAAACCCAAGCATGGCGCCAATGGCTTGTGTTTGGGTGACTGGGCTGGCGCGTTTTGAGGGATATCAAAATCTCTCGGTCGCGGTGGTCACGCACCGACTCCGGCCGAATTTGAGGCTCAATCAGGTAGCCAGCTACCACACGCGCCACCATGTCGCCCGTTTCAGGCAAGCAACAACCTGGGGGCCAAAAAACCCATTTGTCCCAAAAAGAACATATGGGATGGGTGTCTTGACTTCTTCCAGACCCATGATTTGACAAATTTGCTACATGCACACACAAAGGTTTGTTTGCGACACAAATAGTTTGGCAGAGACAATTGCCGAAATTGCAGAATGACTGAGCAATTGGCAGGCCAGCTGTGTTCTTCACTTGGCAGAGTTGTATTGAACAGTTGGTGGACTGTGATTGAAAGTTGGCAGAGTGACACCGTTTTATATACTTGGCAGAGAGTTATTGAACAAAGGCCGGGCTGTCTTCAGAACCACACTCAACCAGCGCCCTTTTACCCTTCTGAGTTTCCTTCATTTTCACCCAGCAAGACAGCTAGCTTGGCCCGGATCCGGCAAATCTTCCTAAAGACCTTTTTACACGGTGAATTGTTTTTCACACCAAATTTTGAAGCTGCGACCCATGCGCCAGCGCAAGCCGCGGGGGGCATCTCCGGGGGCAAAGGAGGACGCGGCAGCCGCAGCCCCAACAAGGCAATCGGTGCGGCCGTCGCTGCTGAAGAATCGGGTGGCCAAGGAGGGGTTCTCCATCCCATCCCTCCAATCCCTCCATTTTTCACTGGCTCAGACGTTGTTTGTTTTGTAGGCAGACTAAATGTGAAACATTTGGCGTAATTTGTTTTGTATACCCGGTTGGGTCAAGCGTGATCCTGAATCCTTCTGCCAGATAAGTTTTCGCAGTAGATATTTCCAGCTACAAATCACGGATGAGGATTAGGGACCCCATTTGGAGAGCCTATTTTTGCAGCTCTGAAGGCGACACCTCAGAGAAACGTGGCTTTCGGGTTCTGTATGAAGCAGGAGTCAAATTCAGCCTGGATGAGAGTGTAAACCGTTTATATAGTCAATTTGCCACTCTGTCAGTCACTCGCCGCCCTGTTTCGCAGCAGGACTTGTTGGCGCGGTTTGCCTTCGTGGGCATCTTCATCGTGGAGAATGTGCTGCATGCGGTGCATTTCGAGTTCGAGGCGCCTAAGCCTGAGTCCAAAGTGAACATGGGAAGGGTTCTCAAAGATACTTCTGTCTAAGCCAGCTCCATTCTAAAGGAAGCTAGCCAAACATTCTAAAGGAAGCTAGCCAAACACCAATCTGCTTGGGTTGCTCCGCGCCTCCAACACATGATCAACCCGCAGGGGTGCAAAACTGGGTTGGGTTCCTTTGGTTCCCCCTTACCCAACGCGTTCATTGGCTCAAATATGAGCAACCCTACCTGTTCAGTTTGGGAAGCTTTTGTGGACAGATTGTTTTTAGTGGGTGGCTGGACCCTTGGAATTTCACTCATGATTCCTTTCGGAAGTCCCTTGGCAGGTGGACAACATGGTACTGCCTGCCGTCGCCCCGCTGCCCCGGGAATTCGCGGTGAGCCTTCATTTGGCCCCTCGAGTTGGCGCGTTCTGCAAATCGCGGGACACTTTATTGCTGGTGTTCGTGAGATTTCCTGTGAAAGCCACCACGAAAAGGGAATCCTTAAAAAAAGAGACACTCACGTGGGTTCGTCTCAGAGTAGGGAGCTCTCGTTCGCATGGTGCTTTCCAAGCACCTGGAAAAGTCCGCCAATTTTGAGAAACACCCATGCGTTTAAATGGACATCAGCCATACAGTCAAGTAGGCTAGTCGCATCGGTTTGGCTTGATTGTCTCCCTGCCGTTGGGGAAAGCATTGTAGCGGGGTCACATCGATTCTTGAATTTAGGTTGCGTTTAGCATGTTTTTTTCTCAAGTCCTTTCAAAGCCAGCCCGCAAGCAACAGCAAGCCAATCAAAATTATAAGCAGAACACACCCATTCTTCGAACAGTTTTTTTCCAGAGCAGCTTGACAGATGCGTTTGCATTATTTCGCGTGCATTTGCATTGTGTAGATTCCCAGGTCAGTAAATGTGCCTCGGCCGGGCCACCGGGGCTTGTGGCTGCTTTTGGACCTCGTTTGAACCTCGTTTGAACCTCGTTTGGGCCTCGTTTGGGCCTCGTTTGGGGCCTCGTTTCTGTCTCCAAAACCAAAGTTTGGTTCGTTTTTCGCAGCATTTTCCCCAACATCGTTGGGTTTTTGTGCGGGAAGTCTTGTTGGAGTATGGTGGGCCTGCCTTGCTCCTGGCTTGCCCCTGCCTTGCTCTTGCCAAAGGGGCAGAGCGCCATCCGATCCCAACGCTCGTTCCGAACGTTGGGGCGTTGCCCCTGCCTTCCTCCTGGCTTGTCCCTGCCTTTCTGCTGCCTTTGCTGTCTTGCTATAGTTGTTGCTGCCTCACTACCTTGTTTTGCTTGCTGCCGCGTTGCGAGCGAATGGGCTTTGGCTGATTGCAGTGACCCTAACGTGACAGGGTCGCTGCGACGTTCCCCTTTGGCACAAATGTTCCAAGAATCTGCAGTGACTAAAGTCCGTGACACGAGCGTGCGAACTAAGTGGCCCAAAGGTCCTTTCAAAGCAAGCAAGCCAGTGTAGTTTGCGATTATTGGCATCAGTCTTGCAGCGTGCTTGAAATGATGAAACGCAACCTAAACGTGGAGGTGATGTGACCCTGATGTTATCCGGTCGCATCGACATTTGCCTCATAGGAGTGCAACACATTTCAATAAAGTTGATGTGCCTAGCCCATCCGACTGTAGGTATTCCGCTTGTAGTTGTTTTGTTTTGCAAATGACATTGTGTTCTTGCTGCTTTGTCTGTCTGCCTTTTGTCCAACAAACATGGAAGTGGACAAAGGGCATTTTGAGACGACGCTATTCTTCCAAACCCCTCCTGTCCACGTCAATGGTTGTTGAAAGAGGGCTGTGCTTCCGTTAAGTACTTGCTGTTTGTTTGTTTGTTGTGCAAGGGCCAAGGCCCTGAGGGACATGCAGGCAATGAACCTTCAGGGGGATGGGTTGAGCCTTTTTGCAGCCGCGAGGCCTCAACTCAGGCTGCAATGCTTTTGACGCGGCCTTTCCTACTGTGCCTCGCGGTCCGCCATGTTTCCTTCGGTTCGGGAGGCTGGTGGTATGCGCCAAGTTTCGGAGGCGAGGATACTACCGGTTACCAGGTCTCGACGGAGGTTTGGTCCTCTTTCACCACGCAGGTGGGAGATCCTGGGGAGGACCTTCGTCTTTTAGGCGCGCTGCCGGGCAATGTGCTGGCCGCGGCCTGCGAAGAGGCGGAGGTGAGTGGCGAGCAGATGACGGTGACCCATCCAGATGTTCCTCGAGCAGGGCAACCTCGCACCGAGGGCATCGGCAAGGTCGCCGGAGAGAGGCAGGTGAAGATGGCCAACGTCCTGGCACCGCGGGCGACCCGAGCAAGATGGGAGGTTGGGTTCAGTGGTACAGCTCCCACCGAAAGAAGAGGAGCCGACACACGAGCAGCGCTGGAGCGGAGGGCCTTCGGCATGAAACAGCCACTGTATGCAGAGTTCGCGGTCTTCACGCCCTATGGCAAGAAGGTTATAAGGGCCACGACATTCCGGACCTGGACATCCTTCAGAGACGGAACGTGGCAGTTAAAGGAGCTTCCAGGACCACCAAAGCTGGCCCGGTGGAAGGCAGGAAGACCGCCCTCATCATGTTGGACCTCGTTTCATTGGCAAACCTCCAGTTGCACGAGGGGTTGATGCGGACGACCTTGCAAGGTCGGAGCACTGGGGCAGGATGGCACTTTGAGCCTTGTGCTTCAGGACGATCGTTTCTGGGATAGCTTGGCTGGCGCATGGAGGACCGGGGGTGCCACTGACGCCATCAGAGCAGGTGTGCGTGGCGCACGTCCCTGGCCTGGGCACGATCACAGCAGAGCTGGAGGGCAAGGCCGAGAAGCAGGCGAAGAGGAAGAGGACGCCCGACAAGCGGGTACAGGATTGCCCACGGCAAAAGAAAACAAAGGCAGGGAAGAAAAGTGCTTTGCGTGGAACGTTGGGCCTTGCAAGGATTTGCCACCAGGGGTGCCTTGTCGGGGAAGGTGAGGCCCACAAGTGCACCGGGTGATCATCCCACGCGCTTCGGGCCAGAACTGGGGCGGCCGGAGCCGGAGTGGTTTGCCATCGGCTGCGATCGCGATGGAGAAGGCGGGCAAGATTTGCTGGCGGATCAACCCTTCGAAGAGCACTTCAGGATGGCAAGGAGGGCTTGATCGACGGCTACCACTCGGGCTTCCCTTGCACAGCTGGAAAAGGGGCCGGGCGTGAGGCCAGGCGTGCCTGGTTGGCGCGCACAACTCCCGCATGCTTGTCGCCCTTCAGTGGTTGGTATTGTCTCGTTGAACGAACCTCACATCGCCCTTGTCAACGCTCGCACGCTGAAGGTCCTGCACGGGGAGTCCGATTCGCAAGGACTTGGAGTGCCTGGCGGTTCTTGTGGCAGTGAGGCATTGGAAGAACAAGTTTGTTGGCGCGCCCGGGATCCGCCTGATGCTCCGCTCAGACAGCGTGGCGGCGCTGGCGATGATGGACAAGCTGGCAGCGGTTGGCACTGCTGCTGAAAGAAATCCAGGTGGAGGCAGTGAAGGTGGGGCACATCCTGGGGGCGCTCAACATCTGCGCGGACAACTCCGCATTAATCCTTCACGGGGTTTTGGATCATAGGATTGGGGCGTTGGGAGGCTGCGCGGCACAAGCTGTGGGACGCTATGAGGAGTTTTTCCAGTGAGGAGTGAGGCAGTTAGGAGTGACAAAGGGAGTTGAAGCAAGATTTTCCTTTGGGAGTACAGGGCATCAAGCTGAGCATGTTTGCGGGGTTAAGGGCGCGTTTGGGTTTCCACGGCTCGGGGGGGTCCAAGGTGGAAGGCGGCGAGCAAGGGGCTCCTGAATCTTATCAAGAACAAAAGAAACGGCAGAGACGCACCGGTGTTTAACCCCAGCTCCTCCGGCAAGGGCCAGTTCGTCAGGGACACGCCGAAGGTGGACTTCAACTTTACTGTGAAAGGTGAGTTCGGCAAGCTCCTCGACGGCGGAAAGAGCGAGTTGGCAGTTTGCGACAGGCAACTACCGCCCACTCTCAAAGGAAGAGAAGGGCGGCCACCTCTGCGTGAAGTGTTTCAGCAAAGGCTCGCGGGCTCAATGAGGCTGGCGAGCCAATCCGAGCTGGTGAATAACTGGCTTTGGAGGAAGCACCCATTCCGCACAAAGCCGACCTGGGAAAGGTGTTCCCGCTTTCGCATCTTTTGAGAAGGTAGGGAGGAAGTAGGGGAATGCACCTTGCACCTGCTTGTCTGTTTGTTTGTTTGTTTGTTTGTCTGTCTGTCTGTCTGTCTGTCCGTGTGTTCGTTCGTTCGTTCGTATGTATGTTTGTATGTTTGTACGTTGGTTGTTTTGTGGTTGGTTGGTTGGTTGGTTGGTTGGTTGGTTGGTTGGTTGGTTGGTTGGTTGGTTGGTTGGTTGGTTGGTTGGTTGGTTGGTTGGTTGGTTGGTTGGTTGGTTGGTTGGTTGGTTGGTTGGTTGGTTGGTTGGTTGGTTGGTTGGATGGATGGATGGATGGATGGATGGATGAATGGATGGATGGATGGATGGTTTGTTTTGTGTTGCTTTGTTATGTTGTGTGTTGCGTCGTGTCATAGTTAGTTGCAAAACATGGGCATTATCTATTGATGTCAGTAGGGCCCATTCCCCCTTCACCATCCTTTAGACTACTCCAGCTTCATATTCCGATTCTGGCGAGACCTTGACAGAAGATGGCTGTTTGGGAGCCATCTGTAAATCCCGGTTTAGTGGCACGCTTTTTCCTCTGTGCGGAGGGCTCCTCACAGGAACTTCGACAACCCGCGCTGCTCGGGGGGTCGCATTTGCTTCCATGGTCTCACGGTGAATTGACATGTCGGCCCTTTTTCAAGAGAATGGTTTACACTTCCTGAACCTATTTGAGGCGCCGCTGACCTCTTCTCGCGCCAAGAAACAAGAACCTGGAATGGTTAGTTACCGGTTTCCCTTGCTCCCATTATGTTTGATGGGTTCCTCGCGTAAAACTGGCTGCATTTCCTGTCTGCACAATGAGTGGTCACAAATACGGAGACTCAAATGGAACCAAGCAACCAAAAAGTCGTGGTTCCGTTTCTCTACCATTCGGGTCTGGGAAAACTTAGGCTAACAAAATATATAGTATTAGCCGGTGGGACAAGTTCCCGAGTTGGTATTTGGGTCTGTGTCAAAACGGGTACCTGTTTAGGTCCCTTGGTTTCCCCTTGAACCAAAGCCAGTAGGGGTACCCTCAAAAAACAGGGCCGCTTGCCCCAGATAGCCTTTACTTGGTTTGTTTTTTTTCTTGGGGCTTGTGGAAATGGGAAACCACCCCACCAATCAGAGGGAAGCTGAAGATGGCCGTTTGCCCCTGCTCGCCTCATATGGGTGTGTCTCAAGAAGAAAGGGGACCCCTAAAAGTGGCAGGTTTCCCTTTGCTGTCCCTTGAATACCAATCTATAGGGGCACCCTTCACAAGGAAGACAAAGAAATTGGCCGAGGTTCACATCATCTTCGGGCTCTTTGGCGCGGTCTTCGTCCTGGTCTCCGGCTTCGACACGGCAGGGCACACAGCGCTTACGAAGGGCACCTCCATGATGCTGGTCTTCATGGGCACCATCACCTGGCCCTTCGGCGCATTTCATGTTGGCCTTAATTTGGTGGGTTTGATCCCCAGTACCTTTTCAAACCATATGGGGAAGGTGCCCCAAACCACCAAGCCGAAATGGGGGGTAAGGTGATTAATGGGATCCCCGGAATCTATGGCCCTATAATCCACCCCAGGCGCCAGTGGGATGAATGAATACTAGCACAAGCCACAAAGCTGGTGCAGGAGTTTGTCCATCGGGATCCATGGCTATTGCAGAAGTACACCCCCCATGTTACCAGGATTGGTTTCTTAACGCGGAGTCAGCATTGGCGTGGAGAGCCAAATGGATGAGGAAACCATTGTTGGGTGGGTTTAAAAGGAAACCAAAAGGCACTGCACAATTTCTGGGGTCCAAATCCCTATTAAAGACAAACCCATATTGCTGGGCTTCTCGAATGCTATTGGACCTGTGACCTCTTTGCAAATACGATCGGTATTTACCACTATATATAACCTGCAAAAAGTCCTGGCCACTGCCAAGTTTGGGCGCGGGAGGAGCAGCATGACTTTTGGAGGGGGTGAGGATGCCACTTGGCTTGCCGTCTTTTTGCGGGACCCTCCGCAAAAGGCGTAACTCTCAGATCTTTGGGGAAACTCTCCATCCCAAAAGGCGCAACAGCAAGAGCTTAGCAAAACAGTTGGAAAGGAAAGTGAAGGAAACGCAAATCCATTGAAAAGATGCAAATACTCATTGGTGTTCCTTGGCAACACGTTTCAGGGCCTCTTCGCGCTTTTCAAGGCTCGCAATGACTTTCAGTGGACAACAGGAACCCTACCCCAAATCTGTTCATTTGGACTGCCAACCTCTATGGCGAGCTCAGGGATTCGGGATAACGAGCGAAAGCCATGATGTTCCATTGCTTTTCCCTTGCTTTCCCGCAGTCCACTAGTGCCAGGGGAAAGGGATGGCCACATGGCCCAGTATATAGCGGTATGCCACATTTCCTGGGGTGGTTTGGGATAGTGGATCACACAGCATGCCAAGTGCCACTGAGGCAGTATGAAGGTAATATGTCTAAAGATGCCGAGCTTTGGGAACAACAACTCTACCTGAGTGTAGCGATCCGGTCTTTGAAGCAACCCAGATGAACGTGTCGCCAGAATTTCTTTGACTTTTCAGTTGAACATGAACGCGTCTAGCCCAATGTGTATCAGTTCTCAATTGTTTTTCCTCCTAACTCGCTTTTTTGGTGCCCCAGCCCGACCCCCCTTTCAAGACCACAGTCTCTGTCCACCTCACCTCGACACCCCCCCCCCGCCCCCTGCGCCAGGACCTGGTGGATCAACCGCCAGGGTGTACTTTATTGGCACCTGGACGAGTATCCGTTCTGGGACACCCGATGCTCTGCGGACAAGCGGAACCGCACGGTGCACATCCTGAAGCCTGGCTGAGGGTCCCATCTCAAGATAGCCCCATCGGTTTCTGGTAGTCAGGCGGATGCCCTAGATATTGCAAGTAAACAAACCATACTGCAGCAGACAACCATATCACTGCAAACTTGCAGGGTTCCCTTGTTCTGTTACTTGCAATATCTAGGTTCTGTAATGGATTCGTTTATGGATGGACGGGATGATGAGCAAGCGGATTGTTCAAGTGGTCGTCCATGAGCCAAATTGGGAAGCTGACGTACCGGGGGGCTCCTTTGTTTCATCCCTTAAGGAGCAACCTCACCCCCTTGAGGATTTCAGCGGGAGATCTCCGCTCGTATTGTGGACAACATCCACGCCCATCGGTGCCAGTTGGTATTTAGGTTTTATCCCACTACTCATAGGGTTTTGTCCATCCCAACTGGTGCGAAGTGTATTTTGTCCATCGCTAGTATGTCAATGTTTCCTGCGGGCCCCAAGTTCCCGGGCCGTAAATCCCTTTCTGTTTGGCTCCAAGAATACTCACTTCGCAAAGCCTTTTAGCATCTTTTAGCCTTCTAGTTTCCCCTTTTGGACTATGTTGATTTTCCTTTTATTTCCAGGGCAAGTGAGAATTGACTGGGATCAAGCCCAAAAAGGGTTCCCTTTCTGGGGAATCAAAGAACTCTAGGAACATGGGTCAAGATTGCTCTTTCTTTGGTGAGTGCTCTAATTTAATCCCGTAACTTCTTGAGCAAACCCGCAAAACAGCTGTTCTGGGTGATGCCTCGTGATTGTTTTCCGGGGTGGATGTTTTTGCTGGTCTTGGCCAACAGCCAACATACCCCTCGGTTCGCTTCGCGGGCAATTTTGCATAAATTGACCTCGCCAGGCTCCCAAATATTTCCCTTTCGGCGGTTTGAAGCATCGCGGTTTGGGCCATGGGGTGGGGGGGAATTATTGGAACCCAGCCATGAGATAGGCTCCTTTCTTGGGTCCAATTCTTTCAGGGTTTATTGGCTATGAACTTTGCGCGTTTCAGTGGCTCTGTACTGATGCCTTCGCCACAGTTCTGAATTACTGTCAGCAACCGCTTTGAAGCTGTTGACTGTCTATTCACCAGCTTGGTTTTGTGGTTGGTTGCCTCAAATATTCAAAGGGTGCTCTTCTTTTAAAAGGGCTTGTAAGCCAACAAGTCAAAGGGTGCTTCCCACCCCTTTCCAGAGCCCTTGCGTGTCCTTGGAACTGGAAAAGTCCCAACCTGTCCAACCCCAATTTAACCAACCCGGCTGCTCCTGGCAAATGGCCTCTGAAACGAGGGGTTCCGTGTTTTGGACGGTTCCACCCAGGAAGAACATCTCCATCGTTGGAGCACTGACCATCTACCAGCAGTTGGCGAAATACGAAGCGCAGGACATTGGCGGACCGCCATCGTTTCCTGGCACGTTCGATCGGACGGGACGGCGTCGGGCCTGAAACAAACATTTCTGGGGACTCCAAAATGTGTTCACTCTCACTCCAACTATCGTGGCACCTGAAAGGGTCCCTACAAGAGGGTACTTGTTGTCCAGGTACTCTCGCAGAGGGTGCTATGTTAGTGGGGGGAGGATATATGTTAGGGTCAACTGAAAAGCAAAAAACTGAACATGGTTTGGTTGTCCAGAGTTGGGCCAAGATGTCCCAGCAACCAGAGATAGCGGTAGAGAAAAGGATCCATGTCTTTGTGGTCGTGTGGTGAGTAACCCACAAAACGCACAGAAGCTCTCTCACACATGGAGTGAATCCATGGAGAAGCTGCCTCTAAACTACCGTTTTCATGAAGGTGTCTGCATGAGCAATGTTTCGGGGAACCAAGCAGACGAGGGCTGAAACCCAAGGGGGCCGCTTTTGGGCACATTGACCACTGAGTTTCAGTCTGCCTTGGGGTAATTCACGAAATGGAATCCTTTTCAGAAATGCGTTTGGAGTACTTATGCGATTTGCAATTGGGGGCGAAGTTCCAATTGTATCAACAGCGGTCGGTGACGTAGTTGGCGCAATGGCCAGTGGATCCTCCGAAGCCAGAAGCTGGGGCGGCTTGACGGGCACGTGTTTCTGAGTGCTCCCATCCTCACTCGCTGCGGCAGAGCCGCCTATCCACGTGGCAAGCTTGCTTTTGCGGGAGGTACATGGAATATTTGTGGACACCTTTCTGGGGGGTGCTTTTTCAAGGCCATCAACTTTTAAAGGCTCCACTTTGAACCACAACCCACGTTACAATTAGTACAGACCCGCTCCTTTTTGGAAAGGACTATGACTACGCTATGAACACTGGGCCTACTCTCTACAAACTATATGAAACTTATCACGCTGCATGTGGCATGTGCTGTGTTTACCGGCGCACCGCATGCGTGGAGCCTTAATGTGACATGTAGGCGAAATATACTGAGTGGAGAAATGACCATGTTAGGTTCCGCATATGTTGTTTTCGTTTGCTAGAATTCACTTTTACGTTGTTCAATGTGGGTTGTCTCTGAATTGGAAAGGTTTCCTAAGAACGGTTCCCTTAAAGCAAAGCAAAAAGCTCCGAGCCTTACAGAAATCCGTGCCCAGCTCGTTTTCCATGTACATGTTAGGCAAAAAGGAAGGTTAGTGGGCGGAAATTCCAACAACGAACCATGTTGCAAGACCCCCCAAAAATGTGGTGCCCTTCTCGTACATGATGATGGTGCTAGGTTTAGGGTTGAACCTTTTAGGGTTCTCGATTTGGAAGCACATTTGTGTGTGCGCTCAAATATAATATGACCCCTCCCCTTGACGCATTTTGCTTTGTTCTCCCTGCGTTGAGCCGAAAAATCCGTGACTCTTCACCAGGTTCTTAGAAGGTCTGGTGACAGCCTTGCGGCCCTGGACCTTTGCAGCGATCCTGGGTCCGCAGCTGGTGCTACTGGCGGCTCTCAGGTGGGCAATTGGGATCGTGGTTTGGGAATGAATGTGATTTGTCTTTTTTTTTCTTGGGGGGAGTTGCTTCTGGAAAAAGGGCAACCAAGTGGAAGCAAACCGTTTTGGGGGATCCTATATTACAGGATCGACTTTTGTTTGCTGTATATACTTTTACTGACTGCATTCGGTCAGGCAGAGATGAGCCACAATCCACACTGATTTGGATGAGGGGAGGTTGGTAGGGGTCAGTCCCAACAACAAATAGGCTCTTGCTTCTTTTCCAGGCGTTTAGGCAGACCGCTCGCATTTGGGGCAAGGGGTTGGCGGGGGGGGGTCTCTATTTGCGAGCTCACGGTTTCAGCGGCAAAGCAAGCTCTACTAGGGGAGCCCTCATTCAGGTTTTAAATTTGTTTAAATTTGCAAGCAAGATGTGGCAGCATCTTGTGTTTTTGCCCTCTACCCTACTCCCTCCCTGAGTTCCTGGACATTGTTTTGGGGGGAAGACCTGTATCCCCCTGGTAAATATTCGATCATGTACTGTGGGCAATTTGCTTTTTCGTTGTCACGTTCCGTGGGATCGCGGCTTTTGTTTCCCTCGGTCGTTCGGTCTAGAAAGAAGAAGCTTCCGCCCTTGCTCTGGTAAAAGGGATGAAGTACTTATGGTGGGTGGCAAATCCTACCGTATCACTGAATGGGTTTCTTTCCACAACCATGTCTGGCCATGTGGATCCCAGGACCCCAAAGGTCCAGGAGATAACCTTGGGTAGGTACCCCTTGCATTCCCCTTGTGAATGTGTTTTTGTACCCTGTACGTAGCCACCTACCTGGGTACTTTGCTTGCAACAGCGAATCGACCGGATCGGACCTTTAGTTTTCAGCACGCCTTCCTGTTCAGGCATCCTGAAAAGGTCGCATGTAATGATATCATTTGGGAGAGGCCCCTTACCTGAATACTCGAGTCTGGGATGTCTCGGGGCGACCTGCAATGATTTACATGACATCTTAGAGACCTCGCCAGCCCCAGTATGTGTAAAGATAAACTGTCTCTTGCCAGGCTGGCAAGTGGTTCAAATCCAGAGCCTGGTCCTCATCAAAGGGGAGCCCAAAAGGGGCATGGTATGGTTGAACAACGGTTGTTTAAACGTGACCACGCCAGACCACGTGCCCTTTTCTAGTCCGCGTAGTGTTCTAGTCCAGTTCATCCAGGCATTTGATTATTGATGGCGTGTGAGGCAAATGGTGTGACGCCTTGAATATGCCAATAAACCTGGAACAATGCAAGTCGACTAATTACATTTATAATAAAAGATCAGCCGTACATGATGTAGCTACTATATATATATATATAATCTTATATTAATACAGAAAACGTAGTATAATTTATATATACGCAGAAATCTTACGACCCCTGTTGTTTTGCGACATATGCGACCGATATGTTTTTCGTGAGGCCGGTCTTTTCATTTGCGCGTCAGGTGCCTGCTCCACTTTGAGCTGCCGGGCTACGTCACAGTCTTCGCCCTAATTCTGTCCCTCATTGCAGTGCCTGCTTGGCATTTCGGGCCACGAATTGGTTGGAACAGGTCCCTTGTTCGGTTGGCTTCGGTTGGCTTCAAAGGGAACCCAAAAGGACAATCAACACACGCAATGTTTGGTGAAACATATCCAGATGTTGCGAATGGGGAAGCGTTTTCGATGAGCGTCCTTCGGAAGGCGAACCTTTTCAAATTCGGTCTTGTGTTTTCTTTTCGAGCCGACTTTGATCAGTGCGGAAACCGTGTGGGTGTGTGTTCGCGCGCGCACGCGCTGCATGTGCTTGTCATGTTGCTTGTGTTTGTGTTTGTGGGTGTTGTTGTTTTGGGTTTTTTGTGTGTTTGCTTCTTTATGTCCTTCTTTATTACTGTGTGTCTTTCTTCCTTCCTTCCTTCCTGCCTTCCTTCCTTCCTTCGTTCGTTCGTTCGTTCGTTTGTTTGTTTGTTTGTTTGTTTGTCTGTTTAAGTTGTGTGTGTGTGTGCGTGTGTTTGTGCGCGTTGTTTGTGTTGTTGTGTGTTTGTTTCTGTTTGTTTTTTTCTCTTTTGGTGTGTTTGTTTGTTTGTGTTTGTGTTTGTGTGTGTGTGTTTGTGGATGGCGTTTGTCTTGTTGTTTTCTATTTATGTATGTCTTTCTTTATGTTTTCATTTATTTATGTCTTTATGTATTTCTTGCTGTATTGATTGCTTTATTTATTTCTTTCTTTCTGTCTTTCTTCCTTTCTTTCCTTCCTTCCTTCTTTCTTTCATTCTTTCCTTTTTTTTGTTTGTTTGTTTGTTTGATTGTTTGCGTGCGTGTTTGTTTGTGCTTGCGTGTGTGCGTGTGTGCGTGTGTGCGTGTGTTTGTGAGCGTTGGTGCTTGTGTTGTGTTTGTTTGTTTGCTTCTTCGTTCGTGTTGGACCCCCAACCTGTTGTTGTTGACCCCAACTGCGTAGGTTTCTAGAGTGTGACGAAACATATGTTGGAATTACGATGGGCTCTTTCTTATCCCAAGGTGCAAGCGACGGCAAATTTGGTGAATTCCTACATGGACTTCAAGAAAGGCATTGACAAGGCAGAGACTGCAGGCGATCGAACTCTGGTGGACAATTTGGCGGCCCGGCAGAAGCCAAGCGGTGGGTTTCCTTTTTGTTTGGAACGTTGTACCGTGAAAACCCACAGAAATACAACCACAAAAAACACGCCGAACAAAACAAATTCATGTTCCCCTTAAAGTCAACTGGGGATTGGGACTCTCGCCTCACTGAATTCATGAATCTGTTCACGGTCCATTTTGGTTGACTTCAGTCGAGTCAACATGGCGAGGGGGGGTGCATTGCTCGCTGCCGAAAAGCTAAGCTCTTCCAAGCACTTCCTTTGTCATATCCACGCATGATTCACGGAGGGTCGTGGGAAGGCTCACCGGTTCCCACCGTGATACCAGGAGCCAGTACTTCCATAGGAGTTTGTGATTGGAGCCATTGCGTGGCACGGTGTTTGCAATTCCCACAGCCTTTGCCCAAGCCCATTGCCAGCAGTGCCCTCCGATCGAGCAATGTTCCTATCTGTGTGGCCAGCCTTCGCACATCAATCAATGACCCTAGAAGAAAAATTGGATTCGGGATTCGGGATTTGGGATTTGGGACTGGGAAGGCCCCAGCCTCTGTTCCGGCTTCGGGATTCAGGATTCAGAATTTTGGATTCGGGATTCGCTAGCAAATCACATTCTCCACCAGCTTCTCCGGATCACGTCTCTCATCATGGGCGGAAGCCGCAAGCTGCGGCTGATCTAACACGTGCCGCATTCCAAGACAGACAGGGGGAGGATGTCTGGTTGGTGCCCCTGTTCCCCAAATTGGGAAGCCAGCGCGCACTCCTAACTGAAGAAGAGCACAGCGCTTCAGCATGGAGCCAAAATCAAGACCTTTCTGGTTGAAGCTTGGTGGGGGACGTTCCAAACCTCAAATTTTGAAGTGGCTGAATTCCTTGTCCAGGTTTGGATGGATCCTTTTGACACGCGTGGTCGGGGAATCTGTTAAGTTATATAACACACGGTGATGAAACTGGGATCACCTTCTTTGGTATGACACAAAGAGCTGCTTTCCACAAAGGATGCTCGCGGCACAACCATGCCCGGCCATCCACGTCCTTTGCCGGAAACCGTGTGGAAATGAGCATCAGGTGTCGCCCTTCACGCTGAAGGCGCTCACAGCCTTCAGCCTAAGTTGTTGGCTCAGCTTCTTCCTGTGGTCCGTGAGCACCAATTTCAGTTCCACCGTGCTGGGCTGCTCGGATCAACAGTCCCCAGTTGAACTCTGTGGGCGCAGCAACGTTTCGGACCATCTTACATCTTTGCCCCGTTTTGCCCATGATTAAAAATATGAACAAAGGAAAGATTAGAATCCTAGGCTTAAGGCCTGACGTTGACCAAGTATGTGTGTGTGTGTGTGTGTCGTTTCTTTGTGGGGGGTACTCTTGAAATCAACATAAAAGGGAACCACGAAATAGTGCCGGCATGTCCCCAAGGGCCAAGTTAGTTTTCCTTTGGTCATGGCTGGTTGCAAAATTGGCTTTCACACACAGATCCTGGTAATTGCCTGTAAATTGAAGGATGGATGATTCAACCTGTTTGAACCTGCGGGTGGCGGACGGGTTCTCAGAAAGATGTTTGGGTCCTGGCAGTTTCCCTAACCCACCATTTAGAATTTAGAAGGTAATTAATTTTGAGGGTGTGACTGAAGGCTTACCAGTTCGGGCCCCTATTCCCATGCGTGGTCAACTCAGAGGTCCCCATGCGGGTTGGATTTCCCTCAATCAAGGAGAAAAGCTAAAGCTTGCTTCCCGTTCTTGTCCCTCAAGCCGCAGTTTTCTGTGAGGAAACGATCAACCCATCCTTCTGCCCCTTTTCAACCGCCTCATGTTTTCCTACAGATCCCACCTCCAGCGCATTTGCCTCGTCAAGAACCGTGGCGTCCCCAACCCCAGACCTCCAGCACTGCCTTTTTGCCGTTCTTGTTGGAGGGGAAGCCCCCTGTATAAACAGACCAACCAGCGGGGAAAAACAGACCAACAAGTGGGCGCCCCTCTCATGGAAATCTGCTGGGGGTTTGGGCCCAGCACAAAATGCCTCGGGTCACTGGCATGCCAAGCGCAGGCTGGGCCACCGCGGGCACAGTCCTGGCACTAGGCTACACTGCTGGCCCGGCACCGCTGAAGTACTTGGGACTCGGCGCGGGGCTTAGCCAAAAAGAGCGCTCTCTGCGGCTCGTTTTTTTTGTGTGTTTCTTGTTTCTTTCTGTGTTCTTCCTCTTTGTCATTTGTTTTCTTGCGTTCTTGCTGTCTTCCTTTCTGTCTTTGTCTATTTTAGTTTATTTATTTGTTGTTTTATTTGAAGTTGTATTTCTGCCTTTATTAATGTCTTTCTTTATGTGTGTTATTCTTCCTTTATGTTTTCATTTCGTTCGGCCGCTCTTTCTTTCTTCCTTTGTTTCTTCCTTTCTTTCTTCCTTTCTTCCTTTCTTTCTTTCTTTCTTTCTTTCTTTCTTTCTTTCTTTCTTTCTTTCTTTCTTTCTCTTGCATCTGTGCCGCACCTTGCGAAAGTCGTGCGCCTGCCACAAAATTCATGCCTAACCTTGCAACAGTCCTGCGCCTGCCATGAAACCTGCAAACATCTTGCGAAGGTACTGCGCCTGCCACGAAATCTGCATATGACCTTGTAAAAGCGCTGCGCCTGCCACGAGATCTGTGCCTGACCTTGCGGAAGCGCTGCGCCTGCCGCGCAAGCGAATGCTACGAAAAGTCGGCGCGCCAGTGCCAACGGGCGCGGCTCCGCCCGCTCCGCACGCACCCCGAGCGCGTTCCATCGAAAGTGCTTCGACTAGGCGGTGTGAGCAGGCTAGCATTCGCTTCCCGCATGGGGTATGTCAATTGTTCCTCGGGTAGTTGAGTGTGACAGTCCCTTTTAGGCGCATTAATAGGCATGGGGTTTTGACGGTTTTGCTGATTTACAAGCTTGTTTGGGTGTTTTTTAGGCATCCACACGTGCTTGGATCCAAGCTCAGTCGGTCAGCTTTCTCCTCCCCAAATGGCGGTAACAACATTTGACTATTGGAAGGGTATATCCAAGGCGACCTCACTGTGCTGATCTGCTTCGGCCCCGGCGTCATCGCCTACAGCTCCGCGGTGCTCATCGGCTCGGTGCCCTGGGGCGGCCTGATCTTCACGCTGCCGCCGGCGCTCTACGTCGTGGCCATCCTGCCACGTGGACAAAGAACCGAAGTAAGCCTATGGGCGGAAGACTGCCCGAGTTCCGTTTCGAACTTTTGTCATTTTTTGGGCTTGGGCCATTTTAGCGGTAGACAAAAAGTTTGGCTGCTGTTTTGGCCAACTCAGGAAGTGAGTGGGAAACTAAGGAGCCCCCCAAATTGTGGTTTGCTCTAAACCAACCTTGAAAAAGGGTCCCTCCAAAGGAGCAGGCACCCAGGTTGTTGGAGTGCCAAACTGTTGACAAATGTTTTTGCAGTAGTGGGTATTTCTTTAGCGACTTGAAAAACGGGGCACTTGGAGCAGGGGGCATTGCTCTCAAAGTCCACTGCAAAAGGAGATTCCGCAAGCAGATTCCCATATTAATTGTTTTTGAGGTTCTACCCATGTCTATTTGCGGCACCAGCCTCCAGACCTCCAGTGGGGTTTTCCTTTTCAGCTTTTTTCGAAGGGTTATAAAATCTACTTTGAGGGAAATAAGAGAGCCATGTAGGGGGAAAGGAAAGGGAGGGACCTTCAAAGGACTAATCGTGCCCCCCTAATGATAGAACGGTCCCCGCCTAAAATTAAGCTGTTTATATACATATATATATATATATATATTGGGCGCTTGGGTGGGGTGATTTTGCCAAGCACTTTTGCTAGCAAGCCACGCAGGCACCGCAAGCAGGCACTCGAGTAGGTTCCCTTCACAAGCTTTGACTCACAAAGTTGTATTCTGGACGTTCTTTCTTTCAGGCAATAGGTTCTTTGCAGGATTGAAAATACAAACGGGTCCCCTAGCAGGACTGGATTTGACCGGACGAAGAAGTACCTACTTTGGAATTGATTTAGTATTGGCCTATTCTAAAACTAGTATTGCCGGATTTGGGATTCTCGAAAATATTTTTAAACGGAGGACCTTTATTATTAGGAAGAACTATTTTGAAGGTTGGCCTTGTTCACTTTTGCCTTGTTTCTGTGGGGTTGTTCGTGAGGTTTTTGACCCCGCCTTGTGGGAAAGAGGTTCTCCAGTTTCCCTTGTTGGGGCGTGTAAGCATCACCTTGTGTTTGCGTTAAAGTAAGTTCCAATTTGCAAAGTCCCGTTCCAGAAGGGGTGTTTTCGAGGATTTCCTTTTGGGAAGTAAAAGACGGGCCCATGCCCAGCGATTCTACCAGTGGAGCTCATGCAGGGCGTCAGCGCGCAGCTGCTCCAAGCTGACACCTTCCAGGGCTCCCTTCGAGAACCCCCTCTCTATTGAACTTGTGTTACAATTCTAAGGTTCACTAGATATGGTATGGACCAGAATCAAGATCGTGTTTTAGTTGGGGTCGAAGCTGGGTTGTTTGGTTTGTTCTGTTTTCAACCAGCATGCCAAAGATGGTCCCACGGCTTAGTTTTTGACCGTTTTTGGGGAGGGGGGGGGGGGGGTATCAAGGGACCACAAGTGTGAGCAACTTAATGATCACTGGTTCAGGTTTTGAACATTGTGTGGGTATGGTCCTAAAAGAGCTCACCTTTCGTTTCTCCCCTTGCTTAATTAACATGATGTGCAATTTTGACACGTGTGCTTCAATGGGAAAACATCATGACTGGCCAACATATTGTCTGTCAAACGAATCCAAGATATCCAATCCCTTTGGGCAAGCGAGGCACGCCAACAACTACCGAGACATCGACATGGACAGTCAAGCAGGTGCCAGGCAGGCTGCTGCTAGCAGATGGCCATAAGATCTCATACTCCCTATATGGATATATCAACCAGTATTCAAATCCATCCATCCCAGCTGGAGCGAAATGGTATTTGGCCGTCCACGGCATTTCTGGACTTATCCGGAAATAGCCACGACCTGGGCCATGAACGGAAGTGCAACTCCCCCGACCCAGTGAGCGGCATTATTTCCCCGAAGTTTGCGTAGCCGCCCACAGCTTTTGATTTGTTAGCCTTGTGTTTTTCATGGTTTTGTCTACTTTTATTATTGAATGAGGTCTGGCAGGCTTGGGTGTTCAAGGTATCATTACTTACTGCAGTTTCAACTATGCCAATTTTGGCTCAAGGTATTGATCCAAACTGGCTAGGTGAGATTTCTGTCTCAGGAGTGACCTGAATGGCAGGTACTCATGTTGCCGTGCACACGGAGCGCCAGGTCCTTTCGCCTGCGACTTTCATGGACTTCCGCTACGAGGTCAACCGGCTGCTGCGTGGTGGAGAGACCACCCAGGCGTTGGGGCTATGGGGCTCCATGGTGGAGATTCGCCGGTTTTGCGCTGGGGCCCCTTGCACGACGGTTGGGTGCCTCAGGTGTTCTGAGCTGCGGGGAGGGTTCCAATTCCCTTGGTTGGGGACTTGGAGCCGTCGAGGAGTGGTTGCCGAGGCGGGAGCCACTGCGTCTCAAGCTTGGTTGGGCGGAATATCACACCAGCGATGCGGGGCTGTCGGAGGATGAGTTGCGGCCCGACCATGTTGGGCGCCCTTGGGCAAGGCTAGACGAAGCCAGCGATGGAGTTGCCATGCCTGAGTTCTTTCGGCTTTTCAAGGCACCAGGATGGCGAGCGGGTCTTCAAGGAGCCATGGTTTGCCTATGAGCCAAGAGGGGAGAGGGCCAGCCATGCCATCCGTCCTGTTGGCGGCAGTGGACACTTCTTCTCATGCCCTTTTGCGGTCTTGCCTGCTGCAACGAGTGCCCCTAGTTCTGTTGTGGCAGCGCACATGGCAGGGCAGTATCCGGGCAGGTATGTGGCTGAAGCCACTGGGTTGAGCCCTGAGCAGGTGGGAGCCGCGCGTGCTAGGGAGTGGCGTGAGCGCCATGGCCTCATCAGGGACGATGACCTGGCCTTCGCGTTCGGGAGCTTCGAGGATGCGCAGGTTGCTGGAGGCCAGACTTTGGCGAGCCATGGGTGGCTGCTCGGTCCCAGGCCCAGCAAGAGTTGCTCCCAGCTGCAGCTTCCATGGTGGAGCTTCGAGCAGCAGGCCAGCCTGCAAGGCGGTGTTCAGAACCCGCCCGAAGCCCTCCTTTCAGAGGGTCGGAGTGGCCCTTACTGGGCACGACTTTGCGCCCGAGAACGGCTTTTGAGGAGATGCAACATCAAGTCCGACCGCATCTACGATGAGTGGCGCACAGGGCTAGAGCGACTAGCCCGGCTGAAGTGCACCCATTCAGTCACCATCCTGAACGCCCGAAGGACCTGGACGGAGTTGAAGGCCTTTCTGGAGTCGCGGGGCCGTTAGAAGATCTTGTTCACGATGGCAGCCTGGCCCCTGCTCGGGCGTTGGCATCCCTGAAGTGGTTGTCCAAGGCAGGGAAACTGCTTTAGGATTCAGGGAGTGGCCCTGCCTCAAAGGGAGCCAGACGCGCGGCAGCGCAAGAGAAGACAGGCCTTGGTGGCGGAGCCTCCCCAAGCACCGGCAGTGGAGCGTAGATCGTGAGAGCGCGCCGGGTATGACCGTCCGATATGCCCGTGCCTGACCACTCCTACCGCGATCCAATTGGCAAGCATGGCGGTCCACTTTGGAACTTGGTGCTCGGCCTGCTCCTGGATCTTGGCCAGCATAAGGGGAAGCAGGCTGGCAACCGTGACGGGTTTTTCTGGGCTATCCCATCTACCTTCAGCAGTGGATGGCCGTGGGCGGAGAAGATGCTGGAGCTCAGGGAGGCCTTGGGACGAGGCGAAGTCTCTGCTTCAAAAAGGTGGGTGAGCCGCGGGCGATCCGGGAGAGTCAGCTCGTGGCCAGGGAGGTGTTCAGATAGCGTGCGTGGAGGACCTCAGTACACACAGCTGGCGCCGGGTCACGCCGACCCTCGGTCACCTGGCTCGCTTTGAAGGCCGCCAGGCCAGCGCTAGCCTGGGCGAATGTACTGACAGGACCACCCACAATGGCGATGCGTGTGAATCACACTTGCCTCGACATGCTGAAGAAGCTGGGCACCCATGAGAGCTGGGATGTGATCCGTCAGGAGGCTCTGGAGGTACCAGACGGAGTGCATGATTGCGGCGGACAGAGCGTTGAGCCAAGACCAGCACACTGTTTGGCAGGGCAAGGCTGATGCGGCAGAGGTCCAACAAGCCTTTCGCTTCGTGGAGTTCCAGCGCAAGAGGGCCGAGGAAGCACGGGCGGCGGCGCCGCTCAGCGAGCCCATGCCGCAGATGCTGAACCAGCGCTACTTGACGAAGCACCTCCGGAATGGGCAAGCGCTGTGCACAACAGCGCAAGGAGCTCCACGAATGTGCGGCTCTAACTTACGGGCCTGCGGAGGTGCACATCCGGCTTCTGAATGCAGAGCCACGCGGATGTTGAAGGAGCCGCCCGTACAGCGACGGCGTGCCAATCCTGCCGGAGCACGCCCCGCCTTCGCTGAGTGACGCGTCATTTGCGGAGTCGGTGCTTTCGGAGGCCGAGATTGAGGAGCCAGCGGTGGATGCGCTTAAGAGGCAGGCGAAGGTCAAAGCCAGGGCGCGCCCAGAGGCTGCGGGCCTGGTTCTTCTGAGAGTGGATTCCCAGCAAGAGCAGATGCATTTAGCCGCCTAGGTCGGTGGAAGGCTAACTGCTTCACAGCTTTCCAAGCGGAGTGTCCGATGCCCCTCTGGGCGCTCCCGTTTCTCCTCTCGTCCGTGTGTTCGAATTTCTGTAAGTGCGTTGGGATTTCAAGTGCATTGGGATTTTAAGCAGGAAGCGATCCTGCATGGCCATGCAGGGAGTCACCCGCATGGCCTACCCCCAGAGCAGGTGTGAACCTGCTTGGTCGGCGGGTCTAGCCAACACATTACCCTGTGGGTGACACAGGCTGGAAACGAACATGGACGAGTGTTTGAAGAAAAAGGAGCTGCACTGTCAGGGCTGATGGAAACCGTAGTGTAGGTTGATTGCAAGTAGGAATGTAGATTTGGTGTGTTTGCAGTTGTTCCAGGTTTGTCGTGCGTTTTGTCACGACTGTCATGACCCGAAAAGGCGATCACTTTTATATCCAGGTTCCAACTTTGCCCCAGGGATTTGGAGGAGAGACAACAAAATTTCAGATGACCCTGTCCAAGACATTGCCCCCTTCAAAGACGGGCTTCTACTTCATAGGATTCCATTGAAAGTTGGATTTGCACAGGAAGTTTAACTTGTTCATGCGGATGCGGAGGGCTTGCAAAAAGTTCAAGCTTTCATTCTGGTATGCCTCCAAATTCAGGGGGCCGTCAAGATGATGGCAGTCCTTGTGTTTGTCCTTTTAACCAATCTTTAGATGGGCACCCCCAAAAAACAACGCACGCCCATTTGATTAGCAGAGTTGGACTGCAGGACTGTGGCGGTGGTCTTGGGTCCAAAGGCCTCTTTGATCTACTACTACGCGCTGCTTCTGGGATCTCATGCACTTGCCTTATTCGCAGGACGTGACCAGAAAAATAAACAAACCGCCTGTGGGCGAAAAGTTTGGCAAACCACATTTAGTTGGTCAAGCCACCTCGGGGAAGTACGGCGCACACCATTTTTGGGTAAAGAAATAGTTGCAAGGGTCCTCTTGCGTTCCTTTTGACAATGACCAACTAAACCACCTTTGATTAGATCGAACGGTGAAAGGGGTCCATCTCAACGGGAGCCATGGTCCGTTTGCGTGGCCCCTTGTTCTTGGCAAGGGCCTCACTATCCCTTTGACGCAGGGTACTGAATGAGTTAGCCAAATGACCCAATCACTTTCCGGAGTTTTCCTTGCCAACTAAAGGATTGAGATGGCACCCAATTCAGTGGGCTCCCTTCGGATGGGACCTGGGCGTACAAGGGCTGAAAGGGTGGCACGGTTGAGCAGCCCCGCCTGAGTGTTTGTTGATGTTTGTTGGTTCTTAGTTTAGGAGACCCCGTTTCACGGGTTCCAAGTCTCACGAGTTCTAATTTATGCCTGTTCTGATCACGTCCAGGATGGAGCTATGGCTGTCACGGCACTGCCGCCACACTCTTCGTTCTGCCCCAGTCCTTATGGCTCTGCTTCCGAATACATCGTCCTGCTTTGTTGAGGGACCAGGACGAGGAGACGGCCAAGACCATGATGATGTTCAGCGTAGCTCGGTGAAAAACCAAGCCTTTGACTTGGCTGAGAATGATGGGTTCCCATCTAATGCCAATGCCGGAAAAATCAACTAGGCGGGCGTTCCCCAACTAGCAAGCAGCGCAGCTTTGCGGTCCAAAATCAGCCCACACAGCTCATTGGAATTGTTTGATGGCGCACAACCAGTTGAAACAAGGCTAAAGCGTGGGTACGTGTGTCAACACCTCATCATAAATGCTGTTTTCCATTTGGATTCAAGCTTAGGGTGCCGCGCCTCAAAACACGCCCCATCTTTTTGCAGGGGTTGAATCGCCCCAATCCTGGAGTCACATAGGTCGCCCTGGCAGTGGGCATCATCACAATGCCGCAGACCATCGCTGCTTTACCCATGGCGGTCTCTGGTTTGGTGGTTTTCGTTTTGAAGGTCTTCGCCGATTAGGATGTGATTCTTCAGCCCTGGTCCTTTGGGCAGTCTCAAAGGACCAGCGTTTGGAAGCGCTCACAGGACTCACAGAAAGCAAAAGCGGCCGGAGCTTTGGGCAAGTTAATTTGTTGCATATGTGTTCGCCCCCCGGCAACTTTCCTTTACCACTCAGAAGCTTGGATCAACTTGTTCAATTCCAAAAGCGCAAGCACTTAAGCAGTGAAACCACGCAGGCAGTGATAGGCATGCCGTGGGTTGAGCTCAGCAACTAGATGAAGTGAAGAAGGGGCAGGCGGTGGAAAGGACCTGTACGGAAAAAGGTTGAGGAAGAAGTGGCTTGCTTGGATGGGAGTCAGGCCTTGTAGCCCTGCGAGTATTGGAATCTTCGGCAACCATCCGTGACCCATCGTTTCGAGCTGAAACCAGTTGCGTCCATGAGCAATGCTTCCACCCTGCCCCTGCCTTGTGAATCGTTGACAATGGGGAGTCTAACGCGACCGTGGTTTGAAGAGTTTGGTTCCCTCCTCCAAAAAAAGTGAAACAGCGCGATGCAAACGTGTTGGATGGCATTTAAAGGGAGGAATTGATCATTATGTTGGCACGGTCAAACTCATTTGATTATTTCCCTGCAAATAGGAGACGTCCAAATGGAGGCCATTTGACAAGCGTTTGGTTGATGCGTTTGAAGAAGAAACTGGCCTTCCTGCTTCTCCCCCCCCGTTGGCAGGTTTTCCCTTTTACCCTGCAAAGCGTTTCAATACAGGCATAGTATTCTTATATACGTATACGAACGCCTGTAATCCTAGTTATTCCCGAAAGCACGGCGAAGGGTTCTTCCGCTGGGTTCACTTGAGTTGTTCTCATGAGAGTCATTACAAGGTGTCATTGCAAGGAATCATCATCATGAAAGTCATTGCGAGGAGTCATTGCAAGGAGTCATTGCAAGGAGTCATTGCAAGGAGTCATTGCAAGGAGTCATGGCAAGAATTATTGCAAGGAGTCATTGCAAGGAGTCATTGCAAGGAGTAGGAGTCATTGCAAGGAGTCATTGCAAGGAGTCATTGCAAGGAGTCATTGCAAGGAGTCATTGCAAGGAGTCATGAGAGTCATTGCAAGTTGCAAGGAGCCAAGTGCATGGAGTCAAGTGCAAGTTGCAAGTGCACGGAGTTAAGTGCAAGTTGCAAGTGCAAGGAGCCAAGTGCAAGGAGCCAAGTGCAAGGAGCCAAGCGCATGGAGTCAAGTGCAAGTTGCAAGTGCATGGAGTCAAGTGCAAGTTGCAAGTGCAAGGAGTCAAGTGCAAGTTGCAAGTGCATGGAGTCAAGTGCAAGTTGCAAGTGCAAGGAGTCAAGTGCAAGTTGCAAGTGCAAGGAGTCAAGTGCAATTGGCTTGCGAGGAGTTAAAATCTCTTCTTAGGGCGGCGGGGTAGTGCCGACGACACTACACGAAAACCGAGCCTCTGCGGGGATCGGCGTGGTCGAGGTGCAAAAACTCGAGGTTTTTTGCCATTTTGGTTTGGCTCGCGCGACCCTTTGCGGGGATCGGGGTGGTCGAGGTGCAAAAACTCAAGGTGTTTTTTGCGATTTTGTTTGGGCTCGCGCGACCCTCTGCGGGGATCGGCGTGGTCGAGGTGCAAAATTCGAGGTTTTTTTTTGCGATTTCTGCGGTGCTCGCGCGATCCTCTGCGGGGATCGGCGTGGTCGAGGTGCAAAAACTCGAGGTGTTTTGCAATTTTGTTTGGGCTCGCGCGACCCTCTGCGGGGATCGGCGTGGTCGAGGCACAAAAACTCGAGGTGTTTTGCGATTTCTGCGGTGCTCGCGCAACCCTCTGCGGGGATCGGCGTGGTCGAGGTGCAAAAACTCGAGGTTTTTTGCGAGTTTTGTTGTTCGAACTGGTCCTCGGGAGTTGTCTCGTGGTTCGCGCGCCTGCTCCCGGGACCGGCGGGTCACGGGTTCGATTCTGGTCCGCGGTGCTTCGCAAGCTGCGCGGAGCAACTTGCATAAAGCAACTTGCGCAGAGCAACTTGCACCAGTTTGCGCAGAGCGCCTTGCCTAGAGCAATTGCAACTTGCGCAGAGCAACTTGCACAGAGCAACTTGCGCAGAGCAGCTTGCACAGAGCAACTTGCAGGGAGCAACTTGCACAGACCAACTTGCACCGACCAGCTTGCGCAGAGCAACTTGCACAGAGCAGCTTGCACAGAGCAATTTGCGCAGAGCAACTTTGACAGTGCAACTTGCACGGAGCAACTTGCACGGAGCAACTTGCGCAGAGCAACTTGCGCAGAGCAACTTGCACAGAGCAACTTGTACAGAGACATCTGCGCAGAGTCAGTTGCACAGAGCTTCTTGCACAGAGCAACTTGCACAAAGCAACTTGCGCGGAGCAACTTGCACAGAGCAACTTGTACACATAGCAGCTTGCACAGAGCAATTTGCGCAGAGCAACTTTGACAGAGCAACTTGCGCAGAGCAACTTGCGCAGAGCAACTTGCGCAGAGCAACTTGCACAGAGCAGCTTGCGCAGAGCAACTTGCAGGGAGCAACTTGCACGGAGCAACTTGCACGGAGCAACTTGCGCAGAGCAACTTGCGCAGAGCAACTTGCACAGAGCAACTTGCACAGAGCAACTTGCACAGAGACATTTGCACAGAGTCAGTTGCGCAGAGCAACTTGCACAGAGCAGCTTGCACAAAGCAACTTGCGCAGAGCAACTTGCACAGACCAGTTTGCGCAAAGCACCGTGCCCAGAGCAACTTGCGCAAAATGGTCAGGGGGCTGTGATGCTTTCGGGCCAACTGTGGTCTAGTTTTGTCTTCATTATCAAATTGTTTGTCAGGTATGGTAATATTTCACCTAGTTTGTTCCAGCAAACTCAACATCCGCCATTTTTCTTGAACCGCCACAAACAAGTTGCATGTAGACAACAATTGGGACTATAAATGTGCTGGTCGCACGTTTTAGCACACAAGAAGGTAATCGATCATGGCAACCAGCCACTTTGGGGCCCCAATGCCACAAGAGTCTCCACATACGGACTCCCCAATGTGTGGGTTCCTTCCCTTTGGTTTCCCTTCTTGGTGTTTGAGCAGGGTTCCCTGTGTTTCTGATTTTAGACCTCACTTGCTTATGGCAATTGTTGGATGAGTTCCTATGGGGTGCGTCAGAATGGAGAATGGGGCACCACCCCACAGAAAGCATGGCTGGTTTCTTCGTGAAGACGTAACCGTTTGGGTGTGTCTTTTTAAGGGCCCCTCTGGCTTGTTCTGAGGGAATTCGGCGTTCCTTTCATTTCCCTTTAATCCCAACCCCCAAAAAATATCCTTAAGAATATGTTCTGTTTCCCCCTTTCAAAATCCATGACTGGAAAACATGCTCTCAATCGTTGCACCAAAAAGCAAATTGGAAAAAACTCCAAACCGGGTCGACTCCGAGGCCGCCAGCTGCGGCCGGACCTGGCCGCCTGCAACGCGCGCCTCAGCGCGCTGGGCCGTGGCCACGCGTGGCGCCAGGTGCTGGCCGAGCTGCGGAGGCCGCCAGGGGGAACCCACGGGTTTTCCCACGTGTCTGACGGACAGTTTCGTAAGTTTATGTTTGGTTTATGTTTGGCTTTTTTGGCTTCCCTTTCCAATAAACAGAGATGGCCTCAAAAAGTACGAATCCGTTTTCCCCACATCGTTTGCGTTTTCTCGAGAATAAACATGGAGTTCCCCATGGTGTAAAACGGCGAAGGCCCCTCAAGATCCAGTTGAAATCCTATCCAAGCCGCCAATCGAAGGGGGTTTGGAGCCATAGGGGGGCCAACATGATGCACGCAAGGCACCAGTTGGGATTTGTGATAAATCCCTGCAATCAGAGGGCTCCATACATGCCGTGCGCAGCGGATTTTGTCCTTCCACAGCAAGGGAAAGACAGTGACGTGGTTTTTGGGAAATCCTGGAAATCCTGGGATTGGACCCCAGTTTTCAGTTCCAACTGAGGAGAGTTGTTTGGTCCTGTCCCAGGGTGTAATTCAAGCTTTGGACAAGGGGTTCATATCCTTGGCAAAGATTCGTCCCTAGATAGACGCAGCGCGAATCAAGTTGTTGGGTGAATCTTGAGGGATATGAGCCATGTGAAGGCAACAGGCTACCTGTCCTGTGGGCGCCAAACCGGCTGAAAGACCGATCCCGTTTTCACTTTGCCTGTCTTTTTGTGTCAGATGGGTAGCCAATCCACTACCCCATCCAAGTTCCCTAACTGGCTTAGTTGCTTGGTTCCATCCAAGCCCCCCCCAAAAAAAAAACAAAAAAAAAACAGAAAGGATCGCCTGGAGGCTCCCTCTGCGATCCTTGGCCTCCTGGGGCGCGGCGGTGGACGCCTGCGCCAGGGCGGCGATTTGGCGCACCGCCTTTGCACTGGCCGAGGAGATGGTCGAAACCGAGCCGGGGACCTCGGCTTTGGCACCCTGTGCTTCAATAAGTAACAAATTGACAAATGGCTTCCTGTGGGATGCTGCACAATTGTTTGCGTGCTGATCCATGTTGAAGGGTAGCAATTCGAATGAAATTGAGGACAACCTCCTCCCTTTGGGTGTGTGAAAGCGGGTTTGCAACAGCTTGAAGTGTGATTGACACAACACGAAAGAGATCTTCATTTTTCAATCCCGAAATTGTCTCTGCGCTGCATTCGCGCTAGATGACGCGGGTTTTTAAATTGCCGCTCGTGAGAGGGCACGAGTCCCAATCCCCGCGACAATAGTCCTGGAGATGGCCAGAAGGTGCGTCGCAGAGGCGATGTTCCACGAGTTCAGGGACGATATGGGTTTGTTTTACTAGTGGACGTAGTTGCATGTGCATCCTAGACGTGCTGGCACTAGTGTGTGTGTGTTGTCAGGTTGAATCGCAAAGGGTCCAAGCTCAACTCAAATGTGCCACATCACGGACGGACAATGCTGGAAACACTTCCAGCGGATCGAAAGGAGGTTGTGGATGGCAGCCTGACCGCAAATTTGGCAGTCTAAGTGTAACCCATCAACATGCTATGTCTCAGGCGAGGAAAGCGCCCGTTTGTTTGGTCAAATGTTGGTTCTTGGGCAACAACCGTTTCCTTTGCAACCCATTTCTTGTGTTGCTTCTGTTCGGTCAGGAGGTAATCCCTTTGAAGGTCCCCGCTCATCTTGCAGTTTCGACGCGCACAGGCAGACCAACCTCATCATTTGCAACTCCCTGATCCATGCTTGTGCGCCTTGCCATTCGATTACAGCAATGATTTTGGTATGTGTCTACTTAATTTATGGCGCCCATTCTGATTCAGGTTTTGGACATATTCTTGAGTTAGCAAATGTTGCACTTTTTGGTTGATAGATACCCCGTGTTGCTCGGCTTGTCCGGGCAAAGTCCGTTTGTGGTACTCCCTTTTGTTTGGAGTAGCTGCTTGCGGGAGCCCCGTCAAGAATTCGCAACAGCACCGACAGCAAGTCGTTTTCACAGCTGGTGATTGAGAGCCGCGTGAGCAATGGACATTTTTTTCTCTCAGGCATTCGCATGTGCTTTGGGGTGTCAAGGGACACCCCCCAAAGATAACACCGCATAGAGGCCCAAGCAGAACCCTACATGATGTGTCACTTCCTATGAGTTGTAGACATTCATCCCTCTTGCACTGTAGACAAGCACGGCAAGTAATAAAGGTGCTTGTCCCCCCGACCATTTTGAATGCAACAGTCAATCTGCAATGCCTTATGCAGAGTGTTCCACCCTCAAGGGTGCCGTGTATGTCCCATTAAAGGGCGAAAAGGCGATGTGCAAACGTTGAAGATGAATATTTTCATTTGGACGTATTTGGACGGCTTGAATTGGAACAGAGACCGCTGCCCAGATCTCTTGGAACTTTGCTTGACAACATTTTGCATGCTAAGCAGTTGTTCTAAACACGGTAAGCGGTGCCAGACGTTGCATTTCTATCAAAGATTGTGTACTCTAGCAGGACGTGGCCCTATGAGCGCGTCCCGATCCAATCTCGGCCTTGCCTTGTCCGAAGACACTTATTCATGCGTCTCATAAAGCAACAAACATCTAAAGAAAGTAGCTACAAACTAGATTTAAGGCTGGTCTTTGGGGCGGACTGAGCCCTTCAAACTTTAGACATTTTGGAAACAAATGGCTTTTGCATTAAACCTGCAAAGGGTTAGCTTGCTCAGGGGGGCTTGGAGCAACCCGGTATTTAATTTGTAAGGAGTTGTAAGGTCGCCGAAGTCAGTGACAACTATGCAAAGCGCTACTCGGCAGAGCTACTCGCGCAGCACAACTTGCACAGAGCTATCCACATAGCGCAGAGCAACTTGCACAGAACCATCTCCATAGAGTCAAATAGTATGGTTATAGTCTGGGCACGATAGTCTGGGCATGAGTACTGTGGGCATGTGGGCATATACTCTGGCTAAAGAGCTTCGGTGTGAAAGGTTGCATTGAAGCGCCTTAGGTCGCAGCTATGAAAGGTAAGTCTCTATAGAGAAGATTCTTAGCGCACGTGAGGGAGCTCGGTAAGAATATTTTTCTTTAAGGCGGGGAGTGGGCTGTTGTCATTGCACGGGACGCGACCCTCTGCGGGGATCAGTGTGGTCGATGTGAAAAAGCTGAGCATAGCTAAGAATTTTCGACTTTTTCACATGACGAGCGACTCTTTGCGCGGATCAGCGTGGTCTGATGTCAAAAAACTGAAGGCGCGCGACCCTCTGCGAGGATCGGCGTGGTCCATGACTCATGACCAAAAACTGAGTACTTTTCAATGATCTTGTGCCCCGGATCGGCGCAGGGCAACTTGCATAGGGCCATCGCACAGGTAGAGCAAAAGCAACTTTCGCAGGCACTTGCGCAGTACACTTACGAACAGCAACTTGCAAAGCTCGCGAAAAAAAGCTACCTGCGCAGGGAAGTTGCTCGGAGCAACTACGCGGAGCAATTTGCATATAGCAACTTGCAAGCAGCATCTTGCGGAGCGACGCTGCGCAACCTACTTGCAAAGCTGCACCTGTACAGGGTGCAGATCATCATGTGGAAGGGCTCCTTCTCCAACATCCTAGGAGAAGGCGTCGCAGTGGCCGATGGCTCTGCAGCTGCTGCAGGACATGGAAAGGCGCTACTGTTTGGGGTTAGGGCGGATTTTGAGAGGGGTGGGCTTGGGTCGGTGTAGGGCTTGGCGCGGACGTCGATTAAAACCACTTTCCACGACGCACATTGACGGAAAATGGAAGCTTGGTGGTACTTTTGCTTCTTATTTGAAGAACTCACCAAGAATGGTCAACCCCAATTTTCTTTGCGTGCTTGTGGAGCAAGTGCAACCCCCTTACCCCTGCCAACTTTTTAAGGCTTTGTAAACTGTTCATGTTCTTTCACCTGTCCATATCAGGAGGGATGGTTCAATTTCTTGGGCCCCTTCTCTTCAGGCGCGGGCCTGAGCCAGACATCCGCAGCTTCAACAGCGCCCTGCGCGCGTGCGCCCAGCGCTGGCCAAAGCCGCTGCAGCTGTGGCGGATCATGGAGGCCAAAGGCCTCAGCCCGCGCCTGGGATAAAGTGTCGTCTTGAGGGTACCGGAAGCCAAACAAGGAACATTATCCTATTGGTTTTACCGGGGATCGACTTCACTACAGGAATTATGCTTGCTGTTCTTAGGAGACTTACTGTACACAAAAGGAGGGCAAGGAATGGGTTAAGATGGGGGTGTCCCTTTCTTACGGCATTTAAGGTGGGGGGTGTCGGATAGGTTCACGATAGTTGGTCGCCTGTGGCATGGGTTAATGGTTTCACCATGAAATGCTGGGATGGAATGGGTTACTCAGCATCTCCTTTAAGTTCAAGTACCAACCAAAAGTCTGCCATTTTACCAGTAAAGTCCGGCAGAGATGGGGTGCGGAAGTTTCAGAAGGAAGTAAAAAAACTATAGTTTGAAGCTTTGTTTTGTTGCCCCTCTCTCTCGCTCTCTCCTCTCTCTCTCTCTCTCTCTCTCTGTCTCTCTCTCTCTCTCTCTCCCAAATGGTTTGACATAGCTGAATGTCTTCAAGCCAGCGCCGAACCTGGAAGGAGCATAAAAGCACTGGGCCCCCTCTAAGCCTTAAACTTGCGCAACCAGGGGGTAGCAGTTGGGTAGTCCTGGGCCAAATTTAGGCTGATTGGCGGCACGAAAGAGTTAGCAGGGACACAGGGCCGAGGATGTTCCTTTTGGTCAGGCCCAATCAAGTCTACCTCAAAGACAAACAGGTGGCTCAAAAACTGTCCCTCGTCCGCGTCATTGCATATCCCTGTTATTTGTACTCTATACAGATATCAAAGCAATGCGGGTGTATACAGGGGTTAGTTGCTGCGGACTTGTCGGAAGTTGAGGTGGGTTAGTCGCAGCTTACTAGGGCGTTCGGTGATCCGCTTAGATGTTGCTGAAACTATTGAGTGTTCCATTGAGCTTGCAAAAGCTTAGGTGGGTGACTCATGGCAAAAGTCCCACTCCGATCAATTGCAAGATGTTGACAGAGATCAAGAGCCTGGCTCCCAAACCCGATTGATTGAGATCTTGCGCGCTGCTTTCCAAAAAAAGAAGTGGTGGTCTTGTTCTACAGCGATGAGGCACCTGGGCTTTCTTCGGGCTTGCTTCTCGGTCCCAGGGACTGCAATGTAAGTTGTCCCCAAGGAGGAAGAAGAAGCCCAGGCCCCGTTTGTTGAACATGTGTCTACTCCTTTTTGGCGTTCACGCAACTTCCCATCGTGTCAAGAAACCATTGCCAGACCAACCTGCTGAAGTGTGCACGTGTGTGTGTGTGTTTGCTGTCAGTGTCCCTTTCAACCAAGAGCCTAAGTCAAGAAAAGGAGCTCTCGGGAGATCTTTTGACGAAAAGGCGGTTTGCTCCCAGACAGAAAAGAAAGGCGCATCTGTAGCAACCCCTGATTGAATGAACGCCTTTGAGAGGTATGGAACAATTTTTGGCCAAAGGATTCGACGATCTGTGACAATGCGAGTCCATGTGCGAGAGCTTGGTCGAAACACATATGCAGGTATTCCCAGCGTTCAATACCTTTGCAATCTAGACTTGCTAAGACAGGTGAGCCCTTTTGCCTGCGTGTCAAAGAAAAAAGACAAGTACAACAAGCATGTTGCGGGGCTCCGCTCTTTAGAATTCACATAACCCACATATTGTGATCTCCGAACATGGATGGGTTGCCAAGCTGTTTGTTGCATGCTAACTCGCTCGCGTTTCAAGCTGGCTTGGTTGGACCAGGTCAACAACAGGCCGGGTTGCCAAGCGTCACTCTTTGGACAAGAGGGAACTCCTTGATGTATTTGCAAGCACGCCAAACACGCTGAACAGCACTGCGCACTGCACACACATTTTCCAAGGGGACAAGGGTGAGTTAAGTGTCCGCAGTTCAATTGGCCATGGCACTGGGTCGCGGGGCAGAGATCCCGGTGAATCCCAACGTGGCCAAGTTCGGTGTTGGAATCTCTTGGGATTCAGGGTCGACAGCCGTGGACGTGGACCTGCAAGCAGTGCGTCTCGGATTTCCTAGCTTTCCACACCCTTTGCCCCACCCCACCCCCCCGGATCATGGCTGGTCGTTAGTGTGACCGAATCGCCCCTTAAACCTTTGGAAGCCACTGGTTGTCCATTAAACTTACAACAGGGTAAACCATTTGCTCAAGGGGCGACCCAGCTATGATGAACACCCTGTTTTGCAACCCCCTTCTTTTACGGAGCTGTCTTTTTCGGGTTTTCAGTTCTTGCCCCCATTGTTTGTCCGTTTCCATTCCAGGTTGTTCATTCTTGAGCAGCCCCGAACGTAGAATTAATCCCCGTCCTTTCGAGGAAGTCAGACATGGGGTTAAGTCTATCTTGCGGCATTCTAATATGGAACCCTGAATCCCTTCATTGTGGCTTCTTGCCGCTTGACCGAATTCACTTTCTGTCGGGCTCTTGGGAAACGACGATGCCCAACTATGTAGCAACAAGTTGATCGCATTTGCGAGTCAACAAATCCAGGATTGTGGATGACAAGGGTGTGATCATCGATGCGGTGTATTACAACAACATGAAGGCCCTGAGGTGTATTACCCATTCGGGCGACGAGCAAACTGGGCAGAAGGAGGGCTTGGACGAGACCATCTGGGTGATGATGAAGAGGGTCCCCGAGCAGGCGAGCCGAAATAATGAAAAGGCCTGGTGGGTGCATTTGTTTTCCCTGATGAACACGGTCCTCCTTTCGGTGCGGGGGCAAGGGTTTGCTCCTCATGTTCTTGTGTTCAGAAACCACCAATTTCCCATAGGTGCTGGGCCAGTTTCAGAAAAGAAGCGTCCTGGACCCTAGAAACAATCACACAACTGCTCCTAACACCCACCAACACACACCTCCGGTTTTGGCCTGTTTGAGTCTTCTCGAAGGTGGTGTGTTTGGCGTATCTTCAGTGTGCTTGGAGGGCGAACCTCACCAAAAGCCAATGGTTGATGGAGCCTAGTTTAATCCAGACCAGGTTTCTTTCAGGGCCCAACCAAAACCTGAGAAAGGAGCCTGCCAGGAGGAAAACTGCGCCTTTTTGTGGCTGGGACTGTCTCCTGCTAATCTAGCCGCGAAGTGAAGACTAGTCCATCACAGTTTTGATGGTTCTAAAACTTCCCATGGCTGTTGGCGCGGGTTTCGTTCTCAGGTCAAGCTGGTGATATTCGTGGTGGCGGCCCACAATCGCGGGCACCTGCGGGACGTGGCGAATGGGGTCATCCACGTGCTGGAGGCAAATCGGTTGCAGTTGGAAATGGCTCAAAGGATAGACATGAGATCGAAAAGTCACGTTCAACAGATGATTCAGGTCTAGGTGGTGTACCCATTTTTGGAAGAGGGACCGCCCCATTCTTCTATCAAATCCTTGGTTCCCAACTTACTTCCCACGTTTCTGGAATGGCAGCAAGTGCCATGAAGCAACCATTTACAGGTGGGACCCAAACTACCATGTTCTGACAAGCATCAGCTCGACTCTCTTATGCGACGCGCCCCCCCCGCAAGTGAAGCGCGCCAAGTCCGAGTTCGTCCGCAAGGCACTATTGGCCTGCAATCGCGTACTTCACCACAGCCCCGCCAACCCCCGAACCAAGACGACCCCAAAAAACCCAAAGGGGGGAACCCCAGCAAAGGAACCAAAACGGGGGAAGACAGGGCTGCCGTGAAATCGAGTGAAACGACTCTCCACACGAGAGTCACGCAGGTGATGAGTACCCAAAGGGAAATCTGAAGGACATCACAGAAACATTGCCGCCGTGAGAGGTTCGCAGCATTCAAGGATGACGCGCTTCAAGGGCGTAGCCAGTCAAGATGCGCTTTGCCAAAAAGACAAAAGAAATCAAGATACATAGCCTGCACAAGAATTGTCACATCCCCAGAACACCGCCACTCAGTGCGTGGAGCACGATGGCGATCATGGTTCTATGAGCCACCAGAGGGCCAAGAGGCATTCACGAGTCATTCAATTTTGAAGTTCTTGCCTGCGCGCGCAAAATCTGTCCCGTCTCTGCCCGACGGATCTTTGAGTTTCTGCTTCGTGTATTTTAATATTTATTAGTGGTGGAGCAACTGGCACTTCAGGCACTGCTTTGAGTGCGTGCTGTGCGAGTGGACCTGTCTTGCAGGCCTGGCTAGACGTCACCGTCTGAGGTAGGTATGGCATCCAAGGGCGTTTCTTCAAGCCGGCGAATCTCCCACCAAACCCCAGCAAGCGCACACTGTTAACACGTGACGTGTCCTCAGCATGCATGAAGGGATAAGGCAAAACCTCTTTAATTCTGGCGCACACTTGTTGAAAAGCAATAATGCGGGTACTCAGAGGCTGCGGCACGAGGAGCGCCTCACTATGGTTATCCCTGAGTCTCCAATCCTTTCCAGGATGCTTTGCGATGTTTACGGGCACGTCAGTTTGTGTTGCGATTCGAAAATTTTGATAGAGCTCCAGCCATGAGATGTCAAACTCAGTTGGGTCACGAGGCCACTTAAGCAAGGATGCCCATTGATAGACACGAAACCAGAAGGTAGGGCCTGTGTATGCAAACTTTTCCAAATTGTCATCCCATTCTGGCAAGTTCGGAAAGAAAGTAGTTGGCGCGAAGTCGAGCAACGGCTGAGCAGGATTCACAGCCACTACGACAATATCCTGGTCCTGTGTTCTCTTGAGCAAAGCTTCAGCCTCTTGGGCTTGCTTTCGCTTGAAATCATCTTCCTGGAAGCGTCTCTGGACCGCAGTAGCCACATGAAGGAGAAAATCCTTATGGCCCTCAAGTTCCGTCACTGTGGCCTGCGTGTGATCTTCAAGAATCTGTCTGAGTTGGGGTTCGATTTGGTGTCTTGCGCCTTTTGCGCTCTTATCAGCCTCATCATTTCCCATTAGCGGTATAAAGCATCAAGGTCGTCAATCTGCGTCAAATCCTCGTGAGAAGCGACTTTTGTGAGAGTGATAGGATTATGGTATATCTGAAAGGGACTGCAAAGCCGCACTAGATGTCAAAGTTTTTCGCTCCCCAAAAAAGGGCAGGG